ATCTGCTCCCGCATCAAAGTTCCACGCTTCAAGAGACATGATACGATTTTCGCGGACCACTACCGTTCCCAGAAACATCCAACGGTAACCCCTCATGGCTCGCATCACACACCTCGCCTCCTCGGCCGTTCGCGGCATTACCACCCTCACGTTGCTTACAGGAGGCTTCTTTTCTGTCTTTGCGCAAAAGCATCCGAATGGAGGTTATGCCAAAGATTGCATCTTTACGGGCGCAAGTTTACGAGAGGGTCACTGGCTAGGGTGCAACTGTCTGAACGACGACGTTGCCATTTTCGGCTACAACTATACTTGGTGAGTCTTTTGATGTGTACAAGTCATCATGGTGCATTTGTGGTGTGCGGTTTTCTAAGATGCTCATCGCTTATTTTACCATAGGCTGGATCTGAACTTTTGCTTGGGAAACAGAAATGGCACCTTGGAGAGTTATGATACGTAAGTCACCATCCAGTGATCTGATTAGGTACGCAGCTTTCCATCCAGACGATGATAACTGACTCGCTCTTGCCCCTTCAGCGGAAACTACACTACAACCTGCCGTGACTGCAGAATTCTCAACAACTACCGTACGATCTTCCTGAACTGTCTATGCCCGGACATGGCGCATGTACTACACAACACCACGATTGATCTGAGTAAGTTCAGTCCTTGCGGTAACGTATATCTGCTTGAAGTGTTTGTCTAGCTTCTAACCATATCACATTAGACACTACCCTGTACAATGTGGATGGATGTGCGGGTTGCTATAACCACATGGGAAACAAGTCATGGGATGGCCCCCCCCCCCCTTCATCTTCAAACCACACTCTGTCGTCAATCTCATTCTTTTGACTACATGAGAACCTGGAAGAGTCCGTCCCATTGAAAGCGCGGCTCGTACTTCCCAAGGCTGTCGCTTAACTAATGCATCTTAAAAATCGATCCGTCGTCATGCCCAGTGTGTTCTTCGCAGGCGTATTCCTCGCCACGCCACATACATGATATGTTTGAATCCACTGCTTCCTCTGTCCTATTATTCCATCTGCAGTCCAGACTTTACCTTTCTAATTCATCATGATTCGTACATCGAATTATTCAAGTGTCTCTCAGGCATGTCCAACTCGTTAGCTCCACCAGCAAAGGGCACTGGATCATCTCGAGGTTCTTCGTAACACAAAGGCACCCTATTGTGGCTTGACAGACCAAAGCTCCCGAGACCAACCATGCTCCCTGATCTTCTTCGTCTCCTTAGAGATGGCCTTCTTTTCGCTCGCGAAGATAGCGAGCGCTTTACTACAAGAGGCAAATGCTTCCACAAGCTCCTTTATCCTGCCAGATTTGACGAATTCCTGAGATACGGCTGAGGCTTTCTCAGCGACAACCGCAGCCAGCTCCATGCACTCGAGCAAGTAGTCGCGCGAGAGGGTAGCGCCGGCAAAATGTAAAGAGCTAACGAGGGCCAGAACGGTTTCTGGGATGTAGGCCTCACGAAGAGCTTGGAAGTCGGGGTCGGCTAATACGAACACATGTTAGACGAAATTCCACCCAAGGATGGGAAATACGCGAGTGAACTTACGCTGAATGGTTTCCAGCAACCACCCCTTAAGGACTGGTTGCATGTATGCTTTGGCCGCGCGGACTTCCTTGTTCGTATGCTGCCACAGTTCGCGGGAATTGGTGCTGTCCCTAATGCGATTCAGTCAGTCGTGAACGTCGACTCGTTGTGTCTGGAATTACTCACTCCCTAGCGAGACCTGCCAAAGAGGACAAAGTCTCCATCGAGTCCAAAGCCTTGACAAGGCACTCGAGCTCCCACATGTTTCGTACTTGTGTGATCACTGCCTCCTTGTCACCGGCGTACAACGCAAGCAACTCCTCTGGAAGCTCACTCGCGGCGAAGTCGGCAAACCATTCAACACTACCATCGTCCCCCTCTCCCCCGACCAGGATCCCGGTCTTCCGCCGGATGATCTCCCGGCCTGGCACCCTCTGAGAAAGAGCACGGGCGGCGCGCAAGCGTGTGCGTTCTTGAGAAAGTTAGCAGGCTGCTGCAAGACAGAGAATAGCAATATTGTAAGAATACTCACTTAAGAAATACTTGTAGGCCCTGATGACATATGTGCATGTTTCCACGAACAAATCATCGACCAGCATGAGCCATTCCAGAGAGCAGATGATATGTCCCTCTTCTTGATCGAATTCTTCTGCCTCGTCGTCACCAAAAAAATCTGGCTTCACTATGCGGCCGTACTTTAGTGTCGCCGGGCCGTCCTCCAGGACCTTGAACTTCCCCTTTGCCTCACAGGGCTGTAGAAGGTCGTGAACATCGCTGAGGAAAATCTCGGGCTGCCTCTTGACAAACTCCGAGACACTGATGCCTAGTCTATTCATAATGGAAATCTGCACCCTCCGTGCACCGTTGTCGAGAATGTGGATAAGATTTCGGCTGAGCGCCTCGTATACGCGCTGCCCATGTAGCTTGGAGCAATAAAGTGGTATCATCTGCTCCAGATTGGCGAGGCGGAGGAAGCTGATATAGGCTGCGATAATGTTCTCCATGGCCTCTTGATGGGCATCGGAAATGGTACGGGTCTCGCTGAGCCTGTTGAGAGTAGTGAAGATGATGAGAACGTGACTGAGCACACGAAGGCTGTTGTGGTCCGACAGATTGAAATATTTAGGGTGAGTAAGGTCATCTGGGACTTGCAGATCAACTGGAGGTATCAAGTTGGACTTCGATCGTTGATTTGCGTGCTTCGCCAGGACGAGTCCCTGATTAGTCAAATAACGGCCAAGTTCATGCGCAATAATGGCACCCTGTAGTGCCTTGGATGGCCTTGTAGCTTCGTTGCTCGTCCTCAAATCTGTCTCGAGTAAGGTGACGAGCCTCTTGCCGACCGAATGCGGATCCCCGTGGTGCAAAACAGCGTTGAAAGCAGGGAACTGTTGGGCGATCCTAGCGGCCTCATCTCCACCGTGCTTGACCAGATACGAGTCGAACCGTGTTCGAAGTAGAGCGTTGTAGTGAGCAAATAGCAGGTCATCCCACGTCTCGCACACCTTCTCTACACTCGCGATATCACCGGCCAGCAGGCCATAGACCGCCCGGTCGTAGTCACTAGTTCCGCCATCCCGAGCGGTAGAGAAGCACATCCGCCTCCATAGAACGAGCGAACGCGGGTCAAAGTCCGGCTGGTCCTCGTCTTCTGGGTTCGCAAGCGGTAGGGGCGTAAGAGACGCAGCTCTCCATAGCTCCGTCCTCATAGAACACCATTCTCGAATCTCAGCCATTGAAAAGCCACGACGTAGCATCTCAAAGCAGCCCAACCAAATGGCGCGCTCGAAAAAGTCGTCCTGGGTTTCCAATTTGCGAGCCTGCCGTGTGATAGCATCGGGATCGAGCTGGGTGACAAGCGTGTTGGAGCTGAGATGTGATTCGGCAAAGCCAAATGCCCTTGGGTCAAGCGATCCTTGGTACCCGTTCACGCTCTTCTGCAGCTTGATCTTGGTGCGAGTATGAAGCCAGCCATGGGCAAGAATGTCACCCCTCTCTGCGCTCTCCTGAAGGTGGCTCACAACGTCGTCTACTGGCGGTCCCTGGCTTGCACTGCTCTGAAGCCACTCTAGCACGACCTTTTGTTCCCTTGCCAAAGAGTCAGACAGCATGAAATCGTTCCACCATTGGTTCCGTGACTGTAAGGATGGTTTTATGTGTTGTTTCAACTGAGATGTTTCGTCCTGGCCATATTCCAGGGGCAGCATGCGCCGAAGAAGATCCCAAGTTTGCGCCTCCTCTTCTGCCTTCCGATATCCTTCGTCAAAGTTTACGGCGAGGTCATCAATTTCATTATCGTCGATGTCCATCTCATTTTCGCGAAGGGTGAGTGTGCGTGGCTGACGCTCGCGAAGTCGATCCGCCCTTTTCCTCGAGTATGCATGGTAAGAGTCGATAAGCTGGAAGACCTGGGCGCGCTTCTCTTTTGTGGTTCCTCTGAGATCGGTGAGGTGGCGGTCTAGCTCTCCCGAAAAAAACTCGACTTCATCGCCGGCTCGGATGACGGTTTGCCGGTATGATGACGGCTGTTGGGCCATGGGGGGAGGTATAAGTCCTGGATGCGCATGTAGTGTTAGCAGCTAGCTGTTCTTAGGGCATTCGAAGCTCCACGATGATCGAACCTAGATCTGGGCTTTCGCTTTTCGAGGCAAATGAAAAGCTCGCGTCTGAGGTAACAGAAGGGTCCTGCAGCAACTGCGTATCAGAAGAAATGAACACTGCCGTGCGGCGTCGGCGTATCGAAGGATTGATGTTGCTCACAACTGTGGGTGCCATGTTCGCCCTTGGTCGTTTCCGTATACACGAGGTTCAAATGGGGGTAGATCGATTGGCGTGATGCTGTGATGACTGTTTGGTAGGCGCGTCGCGGGTTCTTGGTAGGGGACGGCAGACGCTACTGTCTTTCAATCGCATTCCATGCTGTGCTTTGTCCACTTGTTCGTTGAAAGCTCCTTCCAGAAAGACAGACCGGTTGCTGGGCAAGATGACGTCCCACTCTCGGGGACTGAGATCGAGATCAATGTTGGGGTCGTGTCTACAAGGCGTAATGGGAGCACAAGGTAGCTTTCGTGTTGTGTAGCGAAAAGGTCTAAGTGTGGTTCTACACACGCCCAAGTATGGAAAGGTAATTCATGTTGTAATAATTCACGTTGACGAATTTCCAATCACACGTCGAAGCTCCAGCTGCCGCTAGCAACTCGCTTGCCGTCCGCACGACGCGTTCCATGCGGCTCAAAAAGCCGGACTGGGATCTGCGGCCGGCAGAATATGGGTCCCTGGGCGAAGACCTATGAACCCCACCCAAATTTCAAGCCCCTCCACCTGTGTGAGAAATTGATACAAAAAGCGACGGACCCCAAAAACTTCTTTGGTATTTTCTTCTTCTTTTTTTTTTTCCTTACAATGTCCACGGCATTCCTATTAGAGTCTCGGAACAAGACCATCATTTCTTGTTCAGGCCCATGAGGTCTCTTGCGTGCTCAAGGATCGCCCAGAGGAATACTGCACTTTCCGTTTAAGTTACCTAACACCTTCACGGGCGTTTAGGTGGACATATCTGGACAAGTGATACATTTCGACTCCTCTTGTTTTCCTTCATGTAGCCTTCTTTGTCTGTTCCATCTTGAGCCGTAGCAGGCTCGCTTTGGGGCAGCTAACTGTTGACGCGCTTTCGCCGTTCTTTTCGTAAAACGCGTTGCAACACTCGTAGAGTGCGTCTATCTGTTTCTGGCATTTGCTCTCATCAAATCCGTTTCTGGTCAGGCAATCTGCGGCGTGAAGTGAGGTCAGCAAACTGCGAGTTCTGAACGACACAGGAGTCAAGCTGGTCATCCTCACTTTGTATCGCGCACTGCAGGCACAAAAGAACCGCATGTCAGCACACCACGCGTGCAAGCCGTAACAAAAGAACAAGGGAAGCATGGAACACACCGCGCGTGGATGGCATGGCGGATTGGCTGCGAGGTCGTCTTGCAATGTCTAACAAAGCAACATGAACGGTCAGCAGTGCCTCAGGGGAGAGCCGAGACATTCTGTAAGGGGAGACCTGAAGCTGGTACTGCGCCTAAACCCACCATGGTATCGAAATTTGAACAGTCGAGAACTCCGTCTAGTTGGAAGCTGGATCGTGAAGAAGTCAAGAACTGGTAGTTACCCTTCTTTGCTCAGGTGTCTATAAAGTGGAAGGTAAAAGCCAGAGCTTCGAGTGGGACTCTACGCTCGAGGATCTCCCTCCTGCAAGTTTGGAATCCCCACAACCTAAACAATCCCGGTGCTTCGGTACCCCATTCTCCAGTCCAGTTGCCGCGCCTATCAGTAAAGGAAACGGAGGGATGATGTCAGGAACTCTCCGGATCGAAAACACTTATCGGTGACCACCAATGCGTCAATCTATCTGTACTATTCTTCTACCAGCCTCACTACAGCCTAACGCTGGAACAGGCAATTAACCGCGGACTAGGACTACAAGGAACTGTTCATTACTATAGGGCTTGTGCGAGGCAAGGTCGGGTGGTCTGCAAAGATGAGCGAAAGATTGGTATTCGAATGGTTGACCTGGAATTAGTGCCAAGTGGTGGACAGTGAAATACTTGGGCACCTAGTTATGTGGGCTTGCAATTCGGTGTATGAACACCTTCACGAATTGGCCTTCCTCGGCCCTTTCGTCTTATGTTCACCTTTTGGATCAGGCACGGGTATTATACGCATGTGCCGCATTTCAGTAGAGCCTTAAGGAGCGCAACTTAGCACAAAAGTTGGCCAGGTCGAGAGGAGGCATCAAGGTTTCGTACAAATATTGGTGTTTCAAGGCTGGCCCCACCTGAACTTTGCGTCTGCTGCAGTCTTACAAACCGCCGCCCTCCAGCCGTCGTTTACTGCATTCGCCGCAACCACGCTTCCACCTCAAAAGCACGACTTGACCCGGTGCACCTCGCCTTCCACTTCTCTGAATTCTCACGGACCTACTTGACTCGACGCTTCCCAAGACCAGAAGTCTGCCACAGCATATTTCAATACACCTATCTACTGCAGTAAGACAATCCGCTTCTCCTCTCGAATTTTGCTGTCCCTTCACCGATTTCTGCTCCATCTCGTTGTGCGACAACACAGGCAGGACGAGACTCTCCGGCGCGTTGACACGCGCGCAATCTCTGACTTCCATCGCAGCCTGGAGATCTAGCATTTCCGAACATTGACACTTCAAACTCGGCCCTTCCAGTTTTCATTGACGAAATCTCTTTGCGACTAGACTTCTGCCTAGCATCTCCAACTCCCAAGTCATCAACATGGCGGACAACGCTGAGAACGGAAGTGGAAACGCTGGCTCCGATGCCGCCGCCCCCGCCGTCGAGCACCTTAATATCAAGGTGACGGATAACAACAACGAGGTCTTTTTCAAGATCAAGCGCAGCACCAAGCTCGAGAAGCTCATGACGGCGTTCTGCGAGCGCCAGGGCAAGACGCTGGCTTCGGTTAGGTTCCTCTTCGAGGGTCAGCGCGTACAGCCCACGGACACCCCGGACACTGTAAGTAAAATCTGGCATGCACCTAACATCTGTGGTGATGTTGCTGCTAGCCCGGGAACACCATGGTAGACGAAGCACCCAAGCACGCCAGAAATATGTTTGCTAACCAGGTCTATTGCTACCATAATATAGCTCGAGATGCAGGACGGTGATTGCCTGGAAGTTCACCAAGAGCAGGTCGGCGGCTGGTAGATAAAAGGCGATCCTTTACTACAACTACAAGGAGATGGGAGAGAAAAAAAAAAGGCAAAAAAATACAAAAAGACAAAATTATAACCGGCCATATGCATAGTAGCAAGCGGGACGACAACCGGCGACTTGATCACCAGAAGATAGCTCGCGAGTGGTATCCGATTCTATAACAGGACAGGGACTGGGTGGGAGTTTCGGAATGTGATAGCAGGATTGGACACGGGGTTACGGAGAACATCACAGCTTTTGCCATTGTCACTGGACGCACGCACTTTTTCTACTTTTTGTTCCTATTCGTCGCATAGGTGATGCCTAGGAGAACCGGAGTTCGGAGGGTGCTATCATTGGGGTCATAGGGCGGAGGGGTATCGAGGAACATCGATTTGATTCTATTTATACCATACTTTGACAGGACGCCAACTGGCTTTGCCGGCATCTTATCTTCTGTTTGAAGCGTAAACACGGCATCTTTCCAAAAGGCATTCTGCCTCCTTTCTTCCCCCCTTTTCCACTCCCAGATGTTGTAACAATACTGCGAATGCTCGTTTATGATGCCATGCACATTCTCGAGCGCTGTCGAGTGTTTATTATCCCAGGAATTCAAGGACTCACATTGTTGTATCTGTTCCCGCTCAGCCAGTGAACCCATTGCAGTGACATATTCGTAGACAGAGCTTTTACTCTCCTCTACCATCATCTCCAATTTGCCCAGCTTCAATCGTCGTTCCCGAGCGCTGTGGGATATCGTCAACTCCTTGCTTATCTTCCAAGGCTGATTTAACCATGACGTCCATAATGCCTATCAGGTAGGCTACGCTGACAAGTCCAAGGCAACCCCGAATAACCACATTATGACATCCTAGTTTCGTGTGTTGATGTGTTATTATTATGATATTGTTTGTATCTCGATACTCGTACATATGAACCCCTTAACACTATTGAGTAAAAGAAAATGTAGAGCAACATCCTGATTCCAATGCTATGCAGAAGAAAAAAAAAAGGACGAAAGAAAGAAACACCCTTACAATGCTTTGACCTTTGCCCCTATATCCCTATACTCTGTCCTGGACTCTTCTTTGTGTCCGTCATTGGGAAAAGTGGAAGAACCCATCCACTTCCGTATGCCTATGCTTTTAACTCCCTCTCCATGCATCCAGTACAAAGAACAACCATCTCACCCGGCACCGTGCCGGCCCTCCCTTCCCTAGGGAATATCTGTCCATCATCGAACCCGCCGCCGCAGTCGGCACAGCGGAAACACTCATCGTGCCACTCGCCGCCAAGCGCCCTAATGTACTGTCCGATGACGGCCTTCCGGCACTTGCGACATTTGGGCGCCCTGCGCTCGGTGCGCTTTGTCTGGCACGACACGCACCACGCATAACCGTCCTTTTCGATATGCGTCATGCCGCGCTCAAATGGGTCCCCGCACTCGGCGCAGAAGAAGTGGCCAAAGTGCCAGTGGTGGCCCAGTGCCACCACGTGCTCGCCCATAATGGGCGTCGTGCAGTGCTTGCACCGCGGCGCGAACAGTTCGTGCCAGTCCAAGTGGCAGTAGAACCGGAGACGCGCGTCACCGTCCTCGGCCATGGTCTGGCCCGGCGTTTCGGGGAAATGTTCGCCTGCGGTCCGCCGGGCGATGCGCTCGAGCCGCGCCGCCCGGTGCTCATCCGGTTCTGGAGAGATCTCGAGCGCCTCGAGCGACGTGCCGCATGAGTAGCATGTGAAGCACTGCGGATGGAAGCGCTCCGTCATCCCAGCCAGCGAGACGAAGCGGCCTTCAATGAAGTCGCCGCACTCGTGGCAGCGAGCCGTGGCGCGGCTGCCTGCTGGTTTGGGCGCCGGTGACCAGTGGCTGCGTGGCCGAGCTGGCATATGTCGACCTACGGCTCCCGGGGTGGGGAGCGGGCGTCGAGAGCTGCTGCTGTTGGAGGTGCTGGATTTATCGTCTGGCGTCACGATTACTGGAATGCTAGGTCCATCATCGTGAGATCCGCCTGGGAGGACAATCTGAGGGATGTTAGATCGTGATGATGAAGCTGACTCCGAGACAGTGATGGAGGGAACAGATATTGAGGGGATAGAAGATGAAGGAGGCGGTGGATTTATTTGAATACTGGGTGGGGTTGGGACTGGGAGTGGGCGTCTTGTTGGCGACGAAGACGACGGTGGGGTTGAAAAACCATTCGAAACAGGGATAACAGGGACGTTCGGCGTCGAGCCCGGCTGCTGTCGTGGTCGCTGGGGTTGCTGTGGGAGTGCTCGCTGCTGCTGTTGTTGTTGTTGTTGTTGTTGTTGTTGTTGTTGTTGTTGTTGTTGTTGTTGTTGTTGTTGTTGTTGTTGTTGTTGTTGTTGTTGTTGGTGGTGTTGCGTTTGCTGCGGCTCTTCTTGGGGTTGCTGCGACTGCTGGCTGCGGAAACGTCCAGGGACGAGTGGCGTCGAGCGGTCGTCACTCTTGCCGAATCTCGACGGTCCTTCTGGCGTGTCATCAGCAGCCTCATCAGGAGCTTTCCATTGTCTGTCAAAGCTTACGATGGGTCGACCGGGATTGTCACTGACGGCAGACGGCGTAGGTAGCTTGACGCTGCGGTCTTTCAGCTTCATGCTTGTGGCTTGCCGTATCTCATCGCTGCGGATTTCCATGCCGTGCTTTCGAGGAACCTCTTCCTGCACCGGTTTCTTTCTTTCCCAAGGCAAAGCGGGGCGTACGTTGGTGGTGTACTGAGGGTTGCGGGATTGGGTGACAGGATTACGGTGAATCTCATACTTTTCGTACCTAGATCCGTCTTTGGGAGGGGACGAGGCAACGCCATCCGCTGCCGGGGACGTTTCAGGGGCAAACTGTACGCGATTCAGGGGGTTCTTGGGTTTCGCTCCCAGTTGCTCAGGAGTCCTGATTTGTGCAAAGTTATCCAGGCTAGAAGAAGATGACCGCGCTTCTGATTCCTCCGAAATCTTGTCACCTGGGAACGGCTTCTGGGGCTCACCAAATATGTCCTTCTTCGAACCACTCCGTAGGTAACCGCTACTACCTGAAAAGGTGCTGTACGACTTGGAGTTACCCGATTCTGGGGAGCCATCTCGCACACGCTCATGGCTCGCCCTAGGTGTCCCCGGCAGCCTGAAAGACAGCGGGCGAGCTGAAGCTGGCGATACTGGGCTTCGACTTGACCCTTGTCCTTCTTCGCCATCCGTCGAACTTCCCGACATTGAGTACGTGCTAGTATCTCTGGCTAGACCAGTGGGGGCCACATCGCTGCCGTATTTGACGCTGGCTGTGCGGGCATGGGCGTAGCTGTCTTTGCGCAAGTGAGGCTTATACCGATATGGGGTGCCTGGCTCGGGCGGTCTCTCTTTCCCGGGGTTTTCGTGTTGCCATACTAACTCAGCTGCCTCGGCCAGCGCGGCTTCGTAGAGACGCCTTTCCTCCTCGGTTTGCTCCGGAGCCTCATCGTTCCCAGAGCCGGGGCCGACATCCGGCCTAATTAGCGGGCCACCACTGGCGTTCTTGCTGTGTCCCTTTAGATCCATGTCCTCCATAGCCTTGCGCAAAGAAACAGCCTCCTCCTTTTCCATCCATCTCTGACCGCGTTCGATATAGGTAGCAGAAGGTACCACCTCTGATGGCTTCAAGAGCCGGGCTGGACGGTCTGGGTAGTAATCTCTACCTCGGGTCACGTTCGAGTACTTGGAGCCAACGCTGGCGGTCACGGAGCTGCGGCCAGGAGACAGCTCGGTTGGGCTGGATGCATTGTTCGCTTCTGAAGTGCCATTTTGGATGGGAGAGGAGGCGGTCTCGGAGAGGCGAGGGGCTTGTGTGAAAGATGACCGGCTGCTAGGCGAGGGACTGGCAGCAGTAGTACAAGAAGTATCGCGCTTCGAAGCGGGCAGTGGACGTGCACCACCAGGCCTGTTAAGTCGACTGGCGCGTAGATCTTTAAGATATGCGGCTGGATGGTGTTTGTGTTAGTGCGAGACAGGCCATCAAACACGTCCACACCCCCACCTAGCACCTAGGAGATAGTCGGGAAGAACGGCGTACCAAATTGCTCGCTGCTCATATAAGAAGGCGACGGCGGAGTGGCCTTTTTGGGCGAAGCACGCTCGCTCGAGTTACTCCGGGCAAACATGGCGGGCGAGAGGTGACCCCCTTCACGAAGGTGTTGTGCAGCCCTATCTCTTCTTATTTATTGGAATGGCGGGATGTTGATCGTCAATGATGGTTAAGAGTGGAGAAATAGAGACGGTGAAGGAAAGGGTTGGTGGTCGACGGCTGTCAGAAGCGGAGTGAGCCTTGGGAAGTCCCTGGCTGGGAAGGTGGAGCGCCGGACAAGTCGGTTAAAAAGGAGTACAGGACTCTACACAGTAGGCGGAATTGGTCTCTGCTGCTATTATATGTTGTATGTAGAAGTACCGAAATCACGGTTATTAAAGACGACGCCTGCTGTGTCTGTTGTGATGTATGATGCTGTTCCTGTTGTACTTGTTGTTGTCTCTCGTTGATTGTGCCTACCCACCTCGTCCCAGCCCCGTCTCAATGCAAAGAAACAAGTGGAAGGCAAGGAAGGGGACGATGACTTTCCGATTCGTAGACCTCAAGCCTGTTCCGTGAGGAGACGATGTTGACAACGAAGGAGAAGCCCAAAGAATCGACTGCCTGGGCGGTGCTGGAAATAGAACAACAAAAGAAATATTCTAGGTCAATCTAATGTGATGTGTCCAGACATCTAGTGTAGGAGGTGGACGACAGTGAATAGGTAGTGTACAGGTAAGGAGCTGACGGAGTTGGTCATAGTTTAAACGGTATCCGTTCCAAGCGATTCGCTGTCGCGCAATTGGATGGATGGCTTGATCGTCAAAACAAGATGGAAAGACGAAGGGGGGACTCCCTAGCGACGGACCTGGACCGCGTAGCTGGATACATGGAAAGTGCCTGCCTCTACAGCTGTTGCCCGGTTGGGAGCGAGGGACATTTGAGGCTCCAAGCTCGAGCACCGGGCTAACACGCTCGACACCGGCGCTGGCGTGGTTTCTGGCCGCCTCCATGGAGGTAACACCACTGTATTGCGTAACCGTCAAGAGGCTAACACGTACTGCATAGTACAGTGCTCAGGGGCATGCTGTATGCAGTACGTACCCCGTTACATACCCCGGGGCCGTGCCCAAAGAGGTACCTCGAGAAAAGTGAGTGTGCTTGGGCGCGGCGTGAATCTCGTGTGAATCCGTAGCTTCCAATGAGCTGAAATGTCAGAAGGACTTGGCATTCCGCCTTCACCACAGCTTCACACGATTTCACAGGTTTTCGGGATACCTAAAATGCGTACGTTTGCGGGAAGATCGCAAAACTTCACTTATTAAGTAACGCCTGATTTTTCATTCATGTGAAGACCCAGCGGTGTTCCAATAGACTATACGGTTATCAAACCCACGAGGAACGCGATGATACGCCGAATCGTAATCTCTTGTAGTGTATGTACACATGCAGTAGTGTGTAAGACAGTAAACGACGATCTTTGATGGTCAATGCAAAAAGTTTCTGAGCTCGCTGCGATGGCTTTCGAGATACCAAGAACAAGCCATCCATCCCTTTTGATTCATTTTCGTTTCATTGCATGCCCTTCTCCCCCGCATGAGCTCGAGGTACACACTTCTCAGTTACAAGACTCAAATGTCATATTCTGTCTCACTTCCATAGTCCTCTACATCTGTCAGCACCACATCCCACTCGCAACTCCAGTGCCCCTTCGACGCGATGCACCATCAGGTACCCAATCCTGCCCTCAAACTGTCCATCCGATGCAAGTGCTGGTAGGAGCACAAGCAGCATTCTGCTGTATACTCTTTATTCCAACGAGTGCTGCATCCTGCAAGCCTCGCCTTCTGGAAGGAGAAAATGACCATCCTCATGTTCTCCCCCCCGCGTGCCGCCCTGCGAATGTTGGGTGCCAAACCCTATGAGGGGGTGAGTAGTGAGCCGGAACAACCCCCCCGGCTCCTTGACCGTGGAGAGAAGGGCAATGGAAGGATGGCATACACACTAGTATATGTATTGCATGCCTGTCATGTTGTGCGTTCTCTTTCACTTGGCTTTCCATTTGGGGAGGGGGGGGGGGGGCTTGCAGCAGGATCGTTAGTTTGGCCATGGCGGACAAGGGGACTAGGGCTCAAGCTAGGGGGGCAGTGGACGAACTCATTCATCCTGGCTCACCTTCAGGGTCATGGTCAACATCTTCGACCTGTCTTGTGACAATAAGGCACTTTCACCCATTTCCGAGATCCGCACGAGATCCGAAAAGTTGGAGAGAGAGGTTTCGGAATGTCCTTGCCGGTTCGGCCAAGTTTCGGTGTTTGAAAATCTCGAACGGTCGGGACAGGCATCACAATCGAAAAAGGGTGTGTTTTCCGGACCATTGGGCACTGGTAATGGAGTATATTATGTCGCTAGCACCTGCTCAATGAGTTTCTCCGTCGGCGGTGGCCACCGATTTCGCTCTTTTCGAGGCTCCAACCCGAACTGAAAGCAGGGGATTCGGCTGCTTTAGTATGCAGAATATCTTCCACTTACTTAAAAGCTTTCTCTCCCGGAAACCGATTCCCCGAGCGAGCGCGAGCATGATGGACAGTAGACCTAACCGCCAGTTCCATCATTCCCTTATTTTCACCGTACCTTTGACATCTGGTAGTATGCTTATTGGGTCGCTGTCTCTTAGATAGGTCCTTGACGGTTGTTGTCCTCCTGCGTGGACGCCAGACTTTGTCTTGTCGCTGTTGTTGTTAGACTAACAGATAAGAAATAACATATCAAAACTTTTTTTTCCGTCTACCAGGGGTATCATGCCCATTCTCTTGATGCTGTGATATCAAGCCTTTTGTTTCTGCCCTCTTGTATCATTAAATTCTCTTCCACTCTAGGCTCCACCTACCTGCTAGTCTGCCTTCTTCTTTTCTTCTTTCTTTTTCCTTTTTATTTTTTCTTGTCTTTTTTTTGGGGGTTTTTTTTCTTAAAAAAAAAAAATTTAGATTTCGTCGAAAATCTGATGTCTCTCCTCTGCCGGCTACACACACTTGCGAGCACAGTCAAGGAGGCCGGAATGACTTTGGGCCCTAACCCTTCAACGGCTCCGGCGCCGTCCCGTCAAAATGCTTCCTTCCCGCCATCCAATCAAGCTCCTATGGCCAATGCCAGGGCCGCAGTTGAACCCGAGTCCAAGTCTCTTTTCGATGAAAGCCCGGAAGACGGTGATGCTGTCAAAGAGGATGAGTTCAAAGAAGGAGGATATGGCTGGTTCGTCTCGTCTCGCTATACCCATAACATTTTCATACCCTTCTTGTTACTGATGTTCATTGTATATAGGGTGGTAGTCTTCGGCGTATGGCTTGTGAATATGCATACGTGGGGGCTCATCTCGGTAGGCCTTTCTCCCTGCGCTTTCCCACCACAAGTGAAGGAAAATTGCTGACTCAGTCATACACCATATAGTCCTATGCCATCTTCTTAGCCTACTACTTGCGATCCGGCTCAATCATAGGGGCTTCCCCTCTTTTCTTCGCCTTTATTGGCGGTCTTTCTACGTCGATGGGTGGGCTACTCTATGTCACCAAAGACCTTCCTTCAAGCAAGGTGATGTATCTAGTCTCCGCTAACACTCGCTTATGTTCTCTTCTGTAGCTCTTCTCGTGTCGCCCCTTGCCACTTACAGTATCAAGACTCTGGGGACTAGGATCACGCTCTTCATAGGTGCTGTCTTCGAAGCGTAAGTCAACCTTAACTAACTTGTGTTTCCCTTTGTTCCACAACGTACCCCAGTAGTTGACCTTTGTACTAATCGTGTCTTGTACAGCGGCTCATTCATCGGCGCCTCCTTTTCTACCCATGCGTGGCAGCTTCTTCTGAGCCAGGGCGTCTGCTTTGGCCTTGGTATGGGTTTCTGCTTCACAGCTACCGTCGGTATTGTCCCGCAATGGTTCACCAAGCGGCGATCTTTCGCCAATGCCCTGGCAACAGGCGGTTCCGGATTCGGTGGTCTCACCTACGCTCTGGGAGCGAACGCCATGATCACAAATCTCGGGTTGGAATGGGCATTCCGCATCCTGGCCATCACCTGCTTCACCGTGAACGGCTGCGTCAGTCTGATCATCAAAGATCGTAACAAGGCCGTCGGGGCCAAGCATATAGCTTTCCACAAGGATCTCTTCTTCCAGCCAGAGTATTGGCTCTTCGTCGGCTGGGGATTCTTTGGTATCATCGGCTACATCATCGTCGTCTTCTCCATTGCAGACTTTGCCCTACAGGCTGGCTTCACTAGCGATCAAGCATCGTTGGCGTCGGCCATGTTCAATTGTAAGCGTCGCCCATTTTCCTCGCGCTGAAAGTATGGCAAGCAGCGTCTCAGTCTTGTTCATCCACGCTAACCATTTCATCTCATTTCAGTATCCCAAGCGCTTGGCAGACCTGCAATTGGCCTCCTCAGCGATAGGCTAGGAAAGATGAACGTCGCTGGAATAGGGACTCTTATTGCCAGTGTAGTCGCCTTCTTTTTGTGGATCTTCGCCGGCAAATACTTCGCCGGGCTCATCATCTACGCGCTCTTTGGCGCGGTAGCCGGCATCATTTGGCCATGCGTGGGGCCTGTAGGAGCGGAGGTTGTTGGTATACAGCTATTGCCCGCAGGTAAGTGACCCCATTCATACGTGTACGAGCAATACCCATCTCCTTTGAAAGACTAACGTTGTGGACTACAGCTCTTTCTCTGTACTGGATTGGCCTTGTTTTTCCTGCGACTTTGTAAGTATTACCCTTGATCGTTGTATTGTCCAAAAGAGGTTTGTCGGCTAACGGACCTTGTACACTACAGTGCCGAGGTGATCGGACTGAGTCTCAAGCGGGAGATGGTTGGAGCAGGCGTATATTTGAATGTGCAGGTGTTCACTGGTTTCATGTTCTTTGCATCCTTCTTGTCCAGTAAGTATACATATCAACTCTTCCGTCTACCTCACCGAATACCCATGGATTTACTAATCATGCCTTCTCGATGCAGTGTGGCTCCTAAGAAGCTGGAAACTCCGTCAAATGGAATATCTCGGCTTGTACGAAAAGGGGCAGGAGGCGGCCATTCATAATGTCGCTGTCATTCATCCCAACGAAGAAAGCAAGCATGAGGTGGTTTCTACCAGGAGACAACAAAACATTGTTGTCTCATACATAACGAACATGTTTGTCATGAAGCGTCTATAACTTCATATGCGGTTCGTCCGACAAGGAATCGTGTATAGATGCTCCCCTTTAATACAACATCCTTCCATGTCATTACGATGATGGTAATGAAATATATAGCCCATCATGTCTCAACTTGAATTTAGGAAAAGAAAAATGGTTTTTTTTTTTTTTTTTTTTTTTCCTAGCTTTTTGCCTCATTTTTGCTTGACATCATCTGGCAACGTTTTGAACAATCACCCGCAAAAACTATCAATCTACTTGCGAGACAACTCGATCGCCTTGGCCGCCGCCACCTCAAAATCATCAAACGCATAAAGCGGCAGCTGACTATCCGCAATGATCTTCTGTCCCTCCGTCTCGTTCGTACCCCTGATTCTCACCACAACCGGAACCGTAAGCGACAGCTCCTTAAAGGCCATAATGATGCCGTGGGCAATCATATCACCCCGCGTCAGTCCTCCAAAGATATTCACAAATACCACACGCACGCGCGGGTCCTGCAATATGATCATAAAGCTTTCTTTCACCGTCTCACTCGTAGCTTTGCCGCCTGTGTCCAAGAAGTTGGCCGCCTTCCCGCCCGCGTCCGCAAGAGCGTCGACCGTGTTCATGGCCAGCCCGGCCCCGTTCACCAGCGTCCCGATGGTCGCGTCCTCCCCGGGCAGCTTGATGTACACGATGCCGCTCCGTTCCGCCTTGACCTCGGCCGGCTCATCGGTAGCGCGGACATACATAGCCTTGATCTTGTCCGGAGGCGTGCCGTTGCGGAAGGTGGCTTGATCGAAGGCAAAGCGGGCGTGAACGAATTTTATTTCTCTGAGTCGCTCGACGATGTGCGTCGTCAGGAGGAGTCCCTCCTTTTCATAGAACAGAGTGGTCAAGGTCTCGATGAGCCGCCGGAGTGAGTCGACCGCGCTGTCTCCCTTGTTGCTCAGCTGGAGGTAGCTCGCGAGCCGTTCGATGGCCAGTTCGTCGGGTCCCCGGCGGTAGTCGAACGGAAAGCTCTTGACCGGCGCGGAGGTGCGCTGGGCCCCTTCCATCCAGTCTTCGATAGAAGGGGCGACCAGGATGGCAGGAGATCGTGCTGAGCGATCGATGCCGACGGCTAGAAGGCGGCGGGTACCATGGCCGGAATAGGGGCCGCAGTTTATCCCGCCGCGGGCGCGGAGCTCATCAAAGCATTGGTTTACATCGAGATATATACTCCGTCGTTGTTGATACTGCTGCTTGTTATGGACAGATAGACTGGCCGCGGGAGAACGCCGTCCGGGTCCTCTCATAAAGTGAAGCTGACGCCTTTGCATGCCAGTCGCGAAAGGTTGGGATCTGCTCGTCGTGCCGGACCCAGTTGTGCCTTCTCGCAACTTTGTCTTTAGAGTATCGCCTATTTTGGCTGGGTGATTAACCAGGGTCACACCAGCTTCCTCGAGTGCTGCGATCTTCGCCTTTGCAGTAGGTTCTCCAAGGAACGTAAAAGCACCGGCATGCCCCATTATGCGGCCCGGTGCCTCATTTACGCCGGCTATAAGACCAATAATCGGCCTGTCAAGTACCATGTTAGCCATTTCACAACAGACCCAGTACATGGCGGCGAAGATTTAGTAGGCTGTATGACATACTTGGGAGATTTACTACGAGAGTAGTATTCTTTGATCCAAGCTGCAGCCTCGAGCTCTCCCATTCCACCGATCTCACCAATCAAAGCGATGGCTTCAGTGTCTGGATCTTTCTCAAGGACACTCAACGCTTCTACCATGTCCGTTCCAGGTACCATGTCGCCGCCCACGCCTATGCACAGACTCTGTCCAAGCCCGGCCCTGGTGGTTGATGCAACAGCTGCAAAGTAAGCAGTGATTAGTATGAGATGAGCACCCATATTGGGGGATGACTTCAGAGACACCTTGGGAAAGGGAGAGTACTGCCTACTTTCGTAACTCAAAGTGCCTGATTTGGCTACAATACCCACCCGCCCTGGCGAAAAGCATGGCAATGGTTGGAACCCTATCAAGGAAGATATTGACATGTTAGTCTTTACCTTTACCAGGGACACAAGTCCCACCCACGATATGCTGTATGTAGGCGGTCGAGACTACTTGCTTACCTACTCGACACTTCCCTACAGCCGAAATGATGCCGGGAGAGTTAGGACCGACAAGTCTAGACTTGGACTGAGTCTTGAGCATGGAGTGGATCTAGACATACAAGTGTCAGTATATGAGGGCCGAGCGTAATTGGGCCTCTTGTGCGAGGAGCTTACTCTGAGCATGTCGTGAACTGGAATATGCTCGGCGACAGCGACTATAAGTGGTACTTCGGCTTCGATGGCCTCTTCGATAGCCCCGGGGGCCTGATGGGCGGCAACATAGATGCCTGTTGCGTCCGGCTTGAGATGCTCCATGGCCTATAAGCCCAATGTTAGCTCTTTCGGGGTTCTAGAATTGGATGAAAGGCTTGACCAGGACGTAGAGAGCTGGCTGTCGGTTCCATTTCTAACCTGGCGTACGGAAGGTAGCACGGGAAGGCCGAGATGCTCTCCGGTGCGGCCCGGGATCACACCACCGACTATCTTGGTCCCCCATGCTAAAGAGTCCTTAGCATTTGCTGTGGCCTAAAAGTCCCGCTCCATGTTAGCTTGGGTGTACATAGGAGATATTCATGAAGGAATGGCAGGGTGATCAAACCTGTTTTCCTGTAAAGCCCTGAAAAATCACGCGCGTGTTGCTGTTGATCCGAAGAAACGGCAGAGTGTCTGCATATGAGCCATGTAGTGGTTGGCAGGTGGTGAAGAAACGTCGGCTGCTTGTAGGCATTTGTAGCCTACAAGCCCATTGGCTTCGAAGGCTGTGTACGGGCGAGTAATGCCTAGCGTGTTGATACATAGAGGTAGCCATGTTGATTTGGTTTATCACCACTGGCGGCCGTGATGCAGGGGATTCTGGGAATATCTGTGCAAGTTGCAGAAACCAACCAGGCACAATGGATTAGTACTGTAGTACTTTCGACTCAGTAGGCGACTACCTCTAGGTATGTTGGACGGTTGCCGTGATGTAAGGGTGTGGTCTGATGAAGCTGAGATGTCACAAGTGGGATGATAGAGTAGCCAAGGTTCGCACTTGATGACAATAAGTAGGCATCGAACTCCAAAGAACGGCAAGACCGTTTTGAAGATTTTGCTATCCAAACGCCATGTTAGGAAGATGGAGAAGCAGGAAAGACCATCTTTACTTGCACGCGCAGTGCTTCTAAATGTGAATCCAGCTTTCCAGGGGACATCTATGGAGCTTCAACCTGCACCTTGTCTTGCTATTCCTCTCTTTCAGTAGGGCGAATGAATGCGGCCAACTCGGTAGCGGATTTGTGAAACGGTAAACTCGGAGCCGTGACGGTGATGGTCCCCGCGCCTAGGGATGGGATCGACAAGAAGGTATGCCTCCGCACAAAGGGTTGGCGCTAGCTGGTGGCAGGGGTAACAGGTGTTTGTGGTGCAACTTGCAAGCTCTTGACAAGACAGACGATTTGAGAAATGGAAGGAGACGTCGGCAAAGGCCAAAGATGTGATTTTTTTTTCCTTTTCCCCCATACATGTCATCAAGCAACGCTGGTTACAACTCAAGCCTCTCACCACCGTAACTCTCCCTTCACGCCCTTTTCAGCCTCAGCGGCCGGCTTGGGCGTACTTGATGGTTCGTTTTCCTTGAAGCCTAGGTTTTTGAAATCATCTTTGGCCATCAAGTTGCTTAATATCGCATGGTTAGCGCGGGACCAGACAGAGACATTCGGGGAGATGTAGCTGCCACCCACCGTTCCATGCGGCATGCGAGATAGGCCTTTGCCAGCGATCGACACTCATCTTCGTTGACTCCCTTGACCCTCTTGATGCAGGCAAGGTAGGTTGTCATGACGTGTTTGCATTCTCCTGGAGGGCAAAGTATGAGTGAGAGCCGAGACCAGTGTATATACATGCATTGGCTGCTGAGCCTTACCGTCATGATCCAGGGGAAAGCTGCCTCTCTGGGGCCTTGAGGTGTTGTTGGTCAGTTGGACAAGCCTTCAGGGTAGAACATTGCATTCTGGGCTCGTGGACTTACGGCGTGGGTTTTGTTGTTGGCAAGGCACCGGGACTTCCAAAGGTACTCATATTGCAAAGCCGGTGACGGTGATGAACTGCCGCAAAGTTGGTAGTCAAACGAAACCAGGGCAGGGTATTTTGGTTTTTGTTTAGCTTAGGTAGGTAGAGGTAGCTTTTACCAAGTTTTGGGTTCCCCCCTCTGTGGTTTTCCTCCTCTTGCAGGGCGTTCGCAGCTGGGGATCGATTCGAGGTGTGCGACTGCCCGCTGGAGTCTTGACTGCGGATGAAGTGCCCCTGGAAATCGGCATTCCAGCACGGTCTCAGCTACCTGGACCCTAACGTAGCAGGCTCCCGAAATGCCTGCCTACGGGGTAAGCTTTGTTAGTGCAGCTGAGCAAGCGCTGAATGGGACTGAAGGCCAGGGGCATTATGCCCGGGTTCGGTTTTACCGGAAGGTGGCAGCACGGAGGTTACAGATTACTGCGCAGGTAGGTACCTAGGGTGGATAGTGGATCGTGGACGGAGACACGCTCGGGACCATAGAGCTACGGTACGAACGAAGTCGTCTTGATGTCCATGGGGAACTATAAAGGACTTTCTGCATGCATCCCGGAAAAAGACTCCGATGTTCAGATCGGCAGGCCAGCGACATGTGCTGAGTGGACGACCTCCGAAGGTCCCGTCTCTCGCTCCGCCCTCCGTCCACCGTTGTCTGAGCCCGCGGTCCGCAGCCCGGCCGGGAGCCAAGAACTTCGGATCAACGGACAAGCCAGATGACGCACCGTGTCATGCCTGCTCATCACCGCCATCCCGCCTTCCGCCGTCCCCGCTGTCGAATTTCAACCTCTATACCTATAGTGTAGTGGTGTAGTGGACAATGTACATAAGAGGTGCTTCTCTGCCGTGTGGAGCCGTGGCAGTTGAGCTTCAAATTCTGAACTGTTCTTTGAGCCGCCGAGAGCCAGTCACAGACCCCGGTGTGTTGTCGGGTACGCAGGTCAACGTACCGGTTGCATGAAGGCCTGGAAACCTGTTCATCAGGCCGGGTCGGGTTCGATTTGCCCGGGTGCAGGCGCGACGACAACGCATCAAGGGAACTGCCCCCTTCGAGCGAGGTTTTAAACTTTTGACGACCAAGTGAAAGTGGGGACGTGGAACTTGACCCGAGGGGACCACGGACCGACCCCTCCCTCTCCCTCACTGTGTCGAGTAAATGGGTGGGTTTGCAACGCTTTGGATTCTGGAAGCGCGCCCCCTCCCCCCCCGGGGTTATAGATTTTTGGCATCCACATCGACGTCCACATCCACATCCACACTCACCATCGAGGCGCCGCGACAACTACTGAGGGCATCCCTCATCGCTTCAGGTTTCGAGCTGTCTGTGTGCTGCCTTGAACTCGTTGTACGTATCGGCTGCACTTGGATAGATCATCGATCGCCTCGTGCCTTGTCCCGCCAGTAGCCAGCAACAGGCAACACAAGTTTCTTGGTTGTAAACTCTTTTCCCGTCCTGAAGGCGATCCGCTTGATCCAAACCACCTGCCCGACTCGGGTTCTGTCGCCAGCCTCTTCTCCTGCCACCCGCCCGCACAGCCGCCAACCACCTAGCACTCATCTTGTATTTACCAATTTTCTCAATCGACGAGACCATCGACCCTCAGATAAACCCGGGAGCCCACTTGCCCCCATACACCCACCCGGTCCCGTGCGACCGCCCGAATCGTGACCTCGTCCTGCCCGACCTCGGGCCCGTTTTCAAACTTCCGTCTTGCGCTCAACTCCGGCTTCCGCCCGCCTTCTCGCCTGCGTTTGCGCTTTCTAAACGCGACCGATCTTCTCGGCTTTTTCCCCGCTCAACCGTCATCATGGCTGCTCTCGGTGACGATCTGCTGGGCGTTGTCAACAAGTTGCAAGACTTGGTTTTCAACACTATCGGCAACGATTCCCTGGATCTGCCCCAAATCGTACGCAATACCCGCCCACCACCTTCACCTGTCCGCTCCATGCTCGCAACCGCTCCTTGCCCCATCGTCCTTCTTTCCCCTTCCTTTTCCGCCACCAGGCTGCTGACGACCCCTGCTCTCCATCACAGGTTGTCGTTGGATCCCAGTCCGCTGGAAAGTCGTCCGTCCTCGAGAACATTGTCGGTCGCGACTTTCTTCCCCGCGGCAGTGGAATCGTTACTCGGAGACCCCTCATTCTTCAGCTGATAAACGTCCCCGCCGACGACGACGCCGAAGATGCAACCCATCCCAGCTACAGGAACCCCAATGCTGCTGGCCGCAACGAGTGGGCAGAGTTTCACCACATTCCCAATCGGAGATTCACCGATTTTGGCGACGTCAAGCGCGAAATCGAAAATGAGACCGCGCGAGTTGCGGGTACCAACAAGGGAATTAACCGCCAGCCCATCAACCTAAAGATTTTCTCTCCCCACGTTTTGAACCTAACGCTCGTTGATTTGCCTGGTCTCACAAAGGTACGCCGCTTTGAAGCTCTGGTGAACATGCCGTCATAACATGGTCTAACGTATATCCGTGCAGGTTCCCATTGGAGACCAGCCCACAGACATAGAGAAGCAGACGCGCAACCTCATCTCCGAGTACATTGCAAAGCCCAACAGTATTGTCTTGGCTGTCTCGCCCGCTAACGTCGACATTGTGAACTCGGAGGCCTTGAAGCTTGCCAGGCATGTCGATCCCATGGGTAGGAGGACCATTGGTGTTCTCACAAAGGTCGATCTCATGGATCACGGAACAAATGCCCTGGACATACTGTCTGGCCGGGTCTACCCGCTCAAGCTTGGTTGGATTGGCGTGGTAAACAGATCGCAGCAGGATATTCAGGGCAACAAGCCCATGGAAGAGGCCTTGAGGTCCGAGTCCGAGTTCTTCAGGCATCATCCCGCGTATCGAAACATCTCCACCCGTTGCGGAACTCAGTTCCTCGCCAGGACCCTCAACACCACCTTGATGGCTCACATTCGCGAACGCCTGCCAGACATCAAGGCTCGTCTTAACACCTTGATGGGTCAAACCCAGCAGGAACTGGCAAGCTACGGGGACATGCACTTCAGTGGCAAGGAGCACCGAGGTTCTCTTATTCTGCAGCTCATGACCAGGTTTGCGTCATCTTTCATCGCGTCCATTGACGGTACCTCGACGGAAATCTCGACAAAAGAACTCTGTGGCGGTGCTCGTATCTACTACATTTTCAACTCGGTTTTTGGAAGCTCTCTGGAATCGATCGACCCCACTTCCAATTTAACCGCCCTCGATATCCGGACCGCGATTCGCAACTCGACTGGTCCCCGGCCTAGTTTGTTTGTGCCTGAGATGGCCTTCGATCTCCTTGTCAAGCCCCAGATCAAGCTTCTTGAGCCACCCAGTCAGCGCTGCGTAGAGTTGGTATATGAGGAGCTCATCAAGATCTGCCACACTTGTGGCTCGACCGAGCTATCGAGGTTTCCCAGGCTGCAAGCCAAGCTCATCGAAGTTGTTTCTGACTTGCTTAGGGAACGGTTGGGTCCCGCGTCCAACTATGTCGAGTCGCTAATTTCCATCCAGAGGGCTTACATCAACACTAACCACCCCAACTTCCTCGGTGCGGCTGCAGCAATGAGCCACGTTGTGAGCAATAAGCAGGAGAGAGAGAGGAAACGTCTGATTCAAGAGGAGCGCGAAAGACGTGAACGGAGACGGCTGAAGGAGCTTGGTACGAATGCCACCGAGACCCCTATTGAAGGGGAAGAAGAAAGTACTACCCTGGAAAAGACGGACAACGTCCACGTGCGCAAAACCGCTGGAAAGGGTGCCCGCAGCATGTCTCCGGCTGTCCGGGAGAACGGCCCCGGCAGCATTGCAAGCGCTTTGAACGGAGCCAGATCGAATTCTCCTTCTCGCTTTAACGGAGGGCAAGGCGTGGGTAATGCCAAGGAGTCCTTTCTGAACTATTTTTTTGGCAAAGACGGAGCCATTGTTCCCGGTCCTTCAAACAGCGGCAACATTGGACGCCATGTCAACCAGGCCATGGAGCCTACATTTAGCCAAAGCATGAGACGCCCAGACGACAGACAGGTGCGAGCGCCCGCTCAGTCGATAAAAGTGGATGATGACATGGACTATGTCGGCAATGCGAAGGGCACTGAGCTTGTGAGTTGGCCATATTCGCTTTAAGTCTCTTGCTTTCTTTTTTTTTTTTTTTTTTTTTTTTTTGTGCGGCCTATGCTAACAACTTTCTGATGCAGAGCAATGACGGCGAGCCGGCCATGACAGATCGCGAGGCTATGGAAGCCGAGCTGATCCGGGCTTTGATCAGCTCCTACTTCAACATTGTGCGCGAAAGCATCGCAGATCAGGTGCCCAAGGCGATCATGCATTTACTAGTCAACCACTGCAAGGATGTTGTTCAAAACCGCCTTGTTAGCGAACTTTACAAGGAGACGCTGTTTGAGGAGCTGCTTTATGAGGATGATGCAGTGAAAAAGGAGCGGGAGAAGTGCGAAAAGTTGCTCCAGACATATCGGGAGGCGGCCAAGATCATTGGTGAGGTTGTATAAGGCTGGGCTCTACCTTTCCTCAGGCTACACCTACAGACCTTGCGAGGCCGACTCTGGCAGCAGCAGTACGACTGATGTATGTATTATGAACCGATCAGACTTAGAAAGGGGTTATGGCAGTTTCTCAATGGAGGCACTTGTGGCTTGTGTGTTTTTTTGTTTCACGACTTTTGATAAGAGTACCCCCCTGCTGGCTACGAGGATGGCGACTTTCTCCGTTTCGGAGATAAACAGTGAGCTTCTTGAATAGACAATACGTGTCTCTGGAAGGAATGTGCACTACTTGGATAATGGTGCTCATCGCTTAGCCGTCAATTTCTCGTCTGGAAGAAAAGTGATACTATGCCGTAATTTAAAGCTTGACCGAGTTGTCACTCGGACAGATAGGATTCGCGTGTACACTGTACATATAAGCGTCAGGTACAAGTACTTAGCTAAGGTAAGTATTTAGACTAGTGCTAGTATAGTACACTACTGTGTACAGTTCACCCCTGGAAAGTTCGTTAGCGCGGTACTTGTAAGCAATTTTCGACAGGGGCGGCGAAGGGGATCTATAGATGCCCTGTAACTTACTGATTATAGAAGGTGAGGGGGGTTGATTACAGGTGATTCGAGTGATTTGGGCACCCGGCTAGTGAAAAAAAGCGTGTGTGTGTGTGAACTCTTTCTCACTTTGAATCAGGTAGTTTCGGCCAATCAGAGTTCGTAAATAGATATGGACAAGCTTGCAGCCCCCCTTGTTGAACGATGTGGGACTCGTAGTACGCTAACAAACTTTCCAGCATTGATCTGTAGTAGTTACTAACACGCGCCACACAAGCTAACGAAGCATCCCAAACTCGCCAAAGCACAGAAGTCAGGCAGGCTGCAAGCGCGAGGAGCCTCGGGGCACGGACCATGGCCGCAACTTTTTGCTGGCAGGAAGGTAGAGGTATCATTACAAGTCGAATATGGAAGATGGGATTCGGTAACGGTTGCAAAGTTCGTTCCTCTGTGCAGACGAATAGGCAGGAGCGAGGCCCTACCCCGGATTCCTTGACCACGATTTTTCCACCCTTCCAGGTCATTTTTTGGTCGTCAAGACATCTCTCTTCTCCCACAAGGTGTACGTAAAAGGCCGCGGCCACGAGCACCACCACAACGAACACGGTCATCAGTTTCGACAGTCGCGGCTGCGCTTGGCTGTCTGGTGCGGCTGTCTGGTGCGATTGCCGCCCACGCGCCCTCTGCCATTCACCATTCATTCATCTTCCACCTTTCACGTTAGCAGCTCACCCTTCACGTTCAGCTAATCCTATGCACTATACCAACCTTCAACCACGCTCACCACCACCTTAGCAGTCATATCGCACAACAAAGTTGACGCAGACGGCAAGGAAGCTACTATACCTTTACCGATCTCGGCCGACTTCGCCCATATACCAAGGAAGACTTCCAAGGTGTATATGGGTAGTCGAAGATAGCACAGAACCCGCGGACCTTCATCTGATTTAGCGCTGAACTGGACTTGGCTCATTTGTGTGCTGTGGATTGGCAGCCTCCGACCGAGAAAGGTAGCTCTCTGCTCGGCTGGGTTTTCACCACTTTGTTCGGCCTTTCAAGGAAAGAAGTTTTCTTTGGTGTGCAAGGTCCAGGTCTAGCCGATCGTTTGTCAACCTTACAGAGCTGTCGAGGTTGTCCTCCTTGCCATTGACAAGTGTTACCCCTAGAACTGCTACCTTACCTCCGTCCTTCTCCTCTTTCTTCTTGATATCACCTCTACATACTTTCATTTCCGCTGTCCTTGCTGTCATCATCATTTTCCATCCACCCCACTGCGTCAGCCAAGATTCTCTTCTGCGTTGTCACGATGACTGGGGATGGAGAAGACGTTCATCCGGGTCCGGTGCCGAAACGAAGTGGCTCAGTTCCAACGTTGAGGGATGATCAAGATCGCAATAGCTCCATAGAGGTGCTCGACTCATCATCAGCGGCGAGCACTGTGCTTGCCGTACCGACCCAGACAGAGCCGGACGTCGGCATGACAGAAGCTCCCAAAATGTCGTTGCTAGGGAAGCGCCAGAGTCGCGAGCATGCTGCCGATTCCGAGCACTCTTCCGAGTCTGGTGCAAACGTCAAAAAGGTGAAGCTGGCGCAGGACCGGGCCAGACAAGCTGTCGCATTAAACAAGCTGCCGAAGGATAAGTCTCGGTTGTCTGCTGAGGTTTGGCATCACATCTTCAGTTTCTGCCCCCCACGATCACTGGGCAATTTGCTACGCGTTAACAAATTGTTCAACCATTATCTTGATCCTTCTTCGTCACTGGTCAACAGAGAAGTTCCTCTTCCAACCGCCAAGGGAGTTTTGGGTTTCCTCAAGCCAAATGTCATCTGGCAGCTTTCCAGGCGGCTTTTTTGGCCACAGATGCCTGCCCCTCTTCGGTCAATGGCCGAGATCGATATGTGGCGGCTCGCTTGCTCATTAAAGTGCCAAAATTGCAACAAGCAACCAGCACAAAGCCATGCTGCCTTGTCTGAAACATGCTCTACAGCAGCTGCTCCTTGTCTAGGCCCGGGCCTGAATGGTGTTGCTGTCATCTGGCCGTTCGCTAGTCGCCTCTGCGGCCGCTGCTTGGTAATGACCTCGACCAAGGTATGTCTGCGTCAAAATCTGGAGAGAGAACCTCACAGCTGGCTAATACGTCCAGGAAATCGACTTCATGGTCACTCAATCTACCCCCTCCGCAGTTCTTCAAGGGATTGCGTTCGCCTACGTAACGCCAGACCTCCGCATTCAGCCATCCAATACGCCTGACACAGATAAACTAAAATTGTTTTCCGCCACCGACGTCGCCGAAGTGGACAAGGAGTTCCATGACGTCCAAGCCCTCGGTCCTGGAGCCATGGACGAATGGATGAAGGGCCTCAATAACCGTGGTAAGAATATGCAGAATCAGGCATTAAGGTGGGAGAAATGGTATATGTCAGGTGGCGTTACAAGGATGCGTACCGAACTTTATCCAGGCTATGTTAACATCAAGGTCTCATCGATCCCGAATTCAAACTCCGCAACGCCTGCCGCATCGCCAACCTCTTATCCAATTGCTCTACCCGCAACCCGAGCACAAGTGCCCTCATCGCAGGCTTCGTCTCAACCACGACAAGAAAGGACCGCCGAGGAGGTCGCTGAACTCAAGGCCATCAGAAAGGCTGAAATTGAGCGACGGGCTCTACTCTTGGATCCTCCCCTTACACCCGATGTCCTTCGGCATCTTCCTGCGTTCGAAGCGGCCATGCAGATTGTCCTCCCGTTCCAGGACAAGGATTGGGATTTTCTTAAGCCTAGACTCCTCACCCAACGAGGTGAGGCAGAACACCGACACCCTGGACTGCTTGTGGTCAAAGAAGAGGCTCAGCAGAATCGCACCGAGCGTCGTCAACTCGAGGCGACACTGGCAACAACGAAGGAGGCGCGGGAACTTATCGATAAGCAATGGGAGGAGACGCAAGCGCCATTGCGTGTGAGAATAGCCGGTCTTGCTGACGAGGCAATTCGTCAGACTTGGGGAAAGGGCAAGAAAGTGACAAGGGATAACTGCGCCAAGTTTGCCGTTGATGTTCTTTGCTACATACGAAAACGTTTCTATGCTGAGGTCGCCGAGAAGGCCGCTGCTGCTCACTCCGTTGGCCGAGAAGTCCCGGTCGATCCTCCAGAGGGCCCCTTCACCCAAAAGCTTACCTTGGAGAACATGAAGTGGATTTTTGATACCAAGATCAAGCCTCATACGGAGTCATACCGCAAAGAGCTTTTCTATTGCAATGGGTGTGACTCAAACGCGAAAACATTTGGCTTTGAGGGAGTAATCCAACACTACGCAGCCAAACACACGACTGCTCTCAGCTTAGGCACCATCGTTGTTCATTGGAGGGCAGAGTGGCCGCAGTACCCTCCTTTTCGTTATGAGCATCAACTCTCCAAACAACTACCTCACAACCACGGCTTCCGACCATCTTTTGTTGGTAGCTTGGGAGTGCCTGTGTTGCCACAGGGACACGACTACCCGTCCACGAATGGACACGCCGGGCTTCCTTCCTTTCAAACCTATCCAGCACCTGGATATCATACTGCGCTGTATCCAGAACAGTATCAGGCAATCCTTCCGCCAGTCTACCCTCAAGGCCACTATAATCCCGCTCCACAGCAGCCCCTTTACGGACAGCCGCCGCTCCCACCACCACAGCAGCAGCAGCAGCAGCAGCAGCCTTATATAGCTCAGCCGCCCTTGTATCCGCCTTACCAACATCCGGCTACAACGTACCCTCCCCTCGCTACCAGCGAGCCGCCACAAGGATATGGGCCACCGCCACCTGCGGTACAAGCCTACAACTACAACTCTTTTCAGGCAAATGCTCACAGTTCGTACCCTGAAATACAACCTCCTGGATACCCCGACGGCTACCAGATCAGGCTCGAGATAGTTGCTCGGTCATCGCGCGAAACCTGGAACAGTCTTGGGGTTATCAGAGACCTGCCAGGCAGCATTAGGGTCTTCGTCACGATCCATCATCTCGTCAAACGGTTTCATGCAATGTTTGGCGAGGTTCCTCCATTTTCCATGTTCATCGATGGTCTTTCCAACAATAAGGACATGCGGCCTGTGCGGAACGTGAACGGACTGGTCTGCAAAGCCTGCCATCTCAAACTTGGAAATGCTCCGCACGTAGTGGAAGAACGAAAAGCGTTTTCCCTGCCGCAGCTGGTTAATCACTTCCAATCCAAACATATCGAGCCTATGCAGGCTCAGGGAGTTTACCCACTGCTTGACTGGATCATGGATATGGTTTTGCTCCCTAATCTCGAAACACTTTCAAAATTGAGGACCTGTGGCGAGCCCCAGAGGGGTATGCTTGCAGATGCTCTGCCATATCTCTTCCAACCCCGTTTGACGTCTGCTCAACAATACCCTTCACCGTACCCGGTGCTGTCTAAGGGTAGGCACTTCGAGTTCTCAGGACTGGAGCTGAACGGTCTCGCCGGTCGTGAACAACCATACAATGGGTCCCCCGCCCCAAGGCAACATTTATCGGCTGGTCATCCATCTGGTAGAGACTCCGGCAACATGGTCCTACCTACCCTCACCAATGGCCGCTCTGATGCTCCTCAGATTGGCTATGTTTCAGAGCAACAACCAAGCTTGAACTTATCCGTTCCGGATACCTCTGACTTTGGAAGAGACGTGCAAGACGAAGGCACGATGGCTGAAGCACGAAACCTTCTTGATGACAGCAGTGACATGGATAATCAGGACAGGCATGTGAATCTTCACCCAGCCATGGAGAGTGCCCGCTTATCCTTTGAGGAAGCCAAGAAGGTTGAGGCCGGAACTGAGGAGCGGAACAAGGGATGGAATACAAGCAGGACTGAGTCCGGCAAGTCATATTCCTCGTACCATAACTCTGGCGCTGGCGAACATGCCAATCGGCCGCGTGAAGCTTCATTAGTTTTTCATCCAGCAACCCACACGCCTCCACGACCCTCGATGGCGGTTAGTCGGGCAATGCAACCCTTGTCAATTACTGGACACGAAGAAATGTCCAATTTACAGCACCAAGGACACCCTTCGGCGGTTGACCATCGACATAGAAATTTGAACGATCGCTCTTACACCATCGAGCACGGAATGGCCGCAGTCTCGGGCGCCGCACCCCCGTCGAGAATATATGATCGCTACGACGAGGATTCCAGACGTTCCAGGTCCCCGGTGTACGGTGCCAGTTACCAGTCGGTCCCGGCGGGAAGAGATCGAAGTCTGTTGATGCAGCAGGTAGCACCAGCCTATCTCTCTGGGGCTAGGGTACCTCCTCTGAACGACGAGGTGGAGTACAGCCGCTATCGTTCACAAACAGTTGTGTCGGAATATGTCCCAAGGCGAGCTGACACTGAGGTATATGGCCGACCTCCTCCCCGGCCGGAGTATCATGATCAAGACCAAATCCCTAGACCGGAGTACTACCGCAATTTGGTAGACGCCCGGTCTCACTCACGCCAACTGGCACCAGCACTGCCTGCCGACACATATGAGATCGTGCAAGTTAGGGACGAGCAAGGAGAGTATCTCATCCGGCGCCCCGTGCGACGGGACGCGGCAGCCCAATCTTTCCACGATGCAGGACGTAGGGCCCATCGGGACGCGAATCCTGACGGTGCGGCTTCGTATGCTGACAGCGAGCAGCCTGTCTGTACCGCGGATTCGCGCGAGGCTCCATCCGCAGCATATACTAGACATGGTACTATGGTGAGAGAGGACACAGAGCGAGTAGCCCGTGGAAGGGATCCTTACTATGAAGAATATGACCCTCGGTTCCCGGGTGCCTCGTGAGCCTAGTTTGGCGCAAAATGTGCCAGTTTTGGCTTCGTTTGCCCTGAGCTTATAACACGAGGGGTAAAAGGGGGTTATCTTCGGTCCATCTTACGAGCATTTTTGAAATGGGTTTCTTAAATTATCTTGTTTTAAAAGATTGCGTTGCGCGTCTATGCCGGTCTGGAGGAATTTGACTGGGAAAGGGAAGATATCAAGATCGACAAGCAACGAAAGATAGAATGGGCGTTGTCAGTGTGACACATTTCCAAAAGCGGTCTAATAGAGAAGCTCCAACGTAGTGATATTCAGGTACCAGAAAAATGCAAGGTATCAATTACCGTTGACGATCATTCCTACGGTACCCGTCCGTGTAGAGGCGTGTTTGTCGCTCTAAACGATTGGGCATCATGCAGACCAGAGTCACACATTGTCGATTCGGTTTCATTGTTCCGTATTCCTATACTTTCAAGAACTGAACGGGACAATAACCTGCATCGTACCGCGAATTTGTTTCATCAGGTTTGGTGATTCCTTTTTAGTAGGACAAGTGGCCTTCAATGGTCGGAGAATTGTTAAGCAGTACCTCATTGCAGTCGGTTCGTAGCCAATGCCAGGTCTTCTTCGAAGGTGGTATCCACATTGCCTGAGCCATTCTGCGGTCACCCTCTGTGCTCCCTCTCAAACACACAAAAAAAAAAAACAGTGTGACAGTTTGCAATGGCTCATGGGCCCTTTTCGGGCTATTCTCGAGCCAGGTCTTACTGGTCGGACTGGTCAAAGCTGGGTTTGTTTGTTGGCTCGGGGATCATCCTTTCAATTCTATTCTTTCGTCCCAACCAGTACGGCGTCTTATGATGCTACCGTGACAAAGTGCGATGTTTCTGGGGTCCGCGGTTTCCAAGCCTCCCAGGAAGAGGTGAAACACGATGCTGATTGGCAGGCATGTCATCACGACCCATGCAGGGGCAAAACCGCGCCCCTGACGTCTTTGGCCTTGGCCATAGGTGCATGGTTGGCAACAATGGGTGCACATTGTAGGACATTGTAGTGTACGCCGCTGTGGGATTGTGGACGTAAAAGGAAAATCAGCCGTCAGACTCAACAGGTCAGGCGTCATGTGTCGTGGTACGCCATATTACCTACTCTTCTGGGCGGAAGTGTTGGTGATGCGAGATCCAGTTGTGTGAGCATTGACGACAACGGCCGGGAATCAAAGAGGAAACAAGCGCCAGCTGTTCGGGTGCCAAGTCTGAAGTTCGAGTGATAGAGAGAGCCTTCGTGGGCCTACCAAAAGCCATTGTATGAAGGGTTTGTCCGTCATGGCGGCTTGGACAGGTTGAAGTCTACATAGTAGACGTAGCGCTGTAGGTAGGTACGTACTGGTCTCGATTCATGGATGAGGCTATACACTACAATTACTAGTACACTAATAGTGTAAGTGATCACCCAGCCCCACCTGGCACCAGTCCCCATCTTACTAGGCCTTCACATTCGTCCAAACTTCTGCGACAACTTGATAGGCCCATGGCCCCGAATCCTTCGTCTACTCCCTGTTTGCTCCTTTTGGACTGATCCTTCACTCTATTGGGCGTCAACACATCGAAGAAAGGCCGTCATATTTGGTTGTGTTTTTCTTATCCATTTTTTTTATGCTTATAACACGTCGACCGCCACTTTTGCCGGACAAAGGCCCTCGTCCTTCGCAACTTACTTCCCCTCCCCTTCAGTATTCCTTCTCGATACCCCCGTGCAATTCTCACTCTCTGCTTTCAACTCATCAAAATCACCTCTTACGAACGGTTCGGTCAGAGCGCCCACTTCCACTCACAACCATCAACAACTTCTCGCCTATCCATATCACGTAAAATGCATACCCAGCTCGTTTACTTTGCCCTGTTTGCTGGGCTTGCCGGTGCTGCCGGCTTGGAAAGCAAGTCCATCTATGCTGTGGAGGCTATCAAATCCATCATGCCTGGGGCCTTGACCGATTGCTCGCAGTTCGAATTCTCTAAGGAGTGCAGGACACCGGAGGAGGCTGCTCCGCATCTGATTAACTCCCTGAAGGGCCGCACCACAGGCGAGATTGCTATGATCCTGTCGCTCATCGGCGTCGAGAGCGGTGATTTGAAGTTCAGGATCAACCATTTCCCAAGCCCAGGCCACCCCGACCAAGGCACTGCGAATATGATGTCGCCCATGGTTAGTCTTGCTCTACCGAAACTTTGACTACGTTTGATCAAGCTTACTTCGTATACGTGTATCTGGGACTGACCTTAACAAAACAACTGTCTAGTATGTCAGCGAGTATGCAAAAGACCTCAACTTGCCCATCGACGGCAAGTCAGGGCCGGAGATTTTGCAGCTTGTCATAGCGGACGACTTCCGCAATTTTGACTCTGCCCGTTGGTTCGTCGACAAGCATTGCTCGGACGAGGTGAAGGCTAAAATGAAGATGGGCACCGACGAGGGGTACAGCGATTATATCACAAAGTGCGTTGGCACCACCATGGCGGATGATCGGCAACAGTATTGGGACCGGGCCAAGAAGGCATTTGACCTCAGTGGTTAGGTCCAGGCTAGAGACAGCGATATGGGGCTCATAAATGAGGATGAATGGTAGTCTGGGGCAAGCGGTGTCTTATTCTGTTCCTTATATGTTACATCTGGTGTTCGGGAAGCAGCAAAGCTGCCTTCGCTTCCCCGGGCAATGAAAGGCTGGTTCTGGCTTCGGGTTGTGGCCTGTGTAGATGCTAGATAATGCGTTGTACCGTAACTGAAAGATGGAACGAATCCTTTGCTGAAGAATCAAGGTGTAAAAATGTGAAGAAAGGTATGAATAGAATCGAACGACGTTAAAGGAGTAAGAAATTTTTGAATGTACAGATGAATGTGCAATTCGAAGTGTAGATGAAAGTGCAGATGGAAGGAAGAGCTATGAGTTTACCAGTAAAAGAAAAAGTCAATATAGAAATAGGTACTGTAATCGAACGGCTTTTTCTTTTACAATCATGGCCCTAACAAAGTATATTCATACTGAGACTTCCTCAGCTGCCCATGCCCCCCCTTTTCCATTTTTACCAAACTGTTTGATACCTACCGCGAATGACGATTTCAATCTCACTCCGCCGGCCTTACCAAAATTATTATGTCATTTCCTCCAAGTTGAAGTTACCGTGGCGGCTGCGCAAGGCACCGTATATTTGTGATTGGGATCACTCTCCCAAGAAACAGTTCCTGAACTGTTTACCTTGATAAATTTGTACAGTATGACATTTCTCGGCGCAAGATCGAAGGATACGTACCACAGCGGGTTGCTGCTGGTGTACTTTGACGCGCTTAGCGTCACAGCGTTGGCGGTGTTCCAGCTACCGAGGGCAGTCGTGTTGCCCAATCTATACGTTGTTGTATTCTCGAATTAGCTGTTATACGGCCGATCAAGCATCGGTTAAGTGACTATGTACGTTGCGGGCGGTGAGGATGTTGTTGAGACTTACAGCTTAATTGTCTCACCGTAGGACGTGCTAACCAGCGCTTCGAAGGTGATGGGTACTGCAGTGGCAGTGCAAGATGTCGATGCTATATCAGAGGTGATGATGGTCGGTTCTCGTCAGTCCTCCTGCGCATGGTTGTGGTTATATCCGGTTGCAAAACATCCTACGGATATGAAACTTACCCGCCGACGAAATTGATGTAGGAACTCCGGAATCTGTGCTGGTGGTCGAAGTGGGAGCTGACCGTGAGGAACAAATATCGCTGCCGTCGAGAAGCGTTGTGGAGTATAAGATCCTTGGGAGCCCCCCAGAAAGTGTGATGGTTATGCTGCCTCCAGAGTCGGTGATGAAGCTATCGCAACTCACGACGTCGGTGACCGGTTCATCTGCACTGAATCCTGACGCCAACGAAGACAGAGTGACGGCGGTGGAGGACGACGCTCCGACATTGGTGAAGACGCCCACAACTTGTTTGTTGGATGAACCTTTGCGCATGGCAATAGTGTGGCTATCGGAGTAGATGGGCCATGCACGGTATGTCAGGTAGCCGTCGTCTTTTTTGATAACATGGGTACGAAGCTGATTCAGCCGTTTAATCCACGTGTACAACTCTGAGTTAGTTGAAAAGCCGGAAAGCCAGAGGGCCTCTCGGTTGTAGGGAGTATCACTGCCCGCATAATGCTGTTCCTGTCCCTGATAAATGATCGGGATGCCTATAGGAGATGAAGATGATCAGCCGAAATTCGAGCAAATACCACAGGTTATGCAATTGGCAATGGCATGTACAGACCGTCTTTGAGCATCGTAAAGGCAATTGCCTATTGCAGATGTCAGTTGCTGTACGTTGAGTACGGAAGTGTTCCCGTATATGAAGCAACAGGTGCTACGAGGGACAAACATCCCTGGAGGGAAGGGGCAACATACGTTCTTTGCTAAGACCTGCAGTGAAGGAAGTCCTTGGATCAGCGAGGAACCGCATCGACTAACATGTATAAGAAGCAGAAACTCACCATATCACTAGTTTTGTGCGCAAAGCGAGCCTGGTCATGGTTTTCGAGGAACGACCCGTAGAGACTGAGGTCAATCGCTTCATCATATTGTCAGCATTATTGGTTGAAACCGGCCAGGACATTGGACATACCAGCAGCTTTAAGTATGTTCATACCGTTAGCCAGCGCAGTGATGTTGCCGCTTGTTGACTGGAACGCATTTACTATCCAATAATAGCTGCGTAGAAAGTTGACCTGGTAAGCAAGAGCCGACATGCAAAAGGCTCAGGTTCAGTTCACCCATTACCTTGCATAGTCCAAGACGCCGCTGATGTAGCTCTGGTACGGTGCCAGATACGCCGGGTCTCCTTGGAACACCTCTCCAATGGCGAACACGCCGGCAGCGGACTCGAATCCTGGCCAGAAGGACTTTTCAACGTGCTTGACACTATCGATACGAAGGCCATCGCTGTAACAGTTTAGGTTAGTTCTCTACAGGAAGACAGTGCCCTGTTCATCACTGATATGACAGCAATGGGGAGCAGTGTACATACATACTGTACGTTGACACGATCTTGGACACCCAGTCGTGCCATATCTTGCGGACGTCGTCGCTGTTGCGTTCACCGTATTAGTCATCTTTCAGAATAGGAGCCTGGGACAGTTTTGACCTACGTTTCGGTTTTAAGGTCCGGTAAACTATGTGCACATGTGAGGCGTCAGTCAGGCTAAGGGATATTGCTCGTGGAGTCAAGAGTCCGAATGTATGACTTCATAGCACTTTACGTTATTGCCTGACGACGACAGACGTACCTGACGACATCACTTCCTTGCCAGCATCTGAGTTCCATTTGTCAGTGTCTGCCTTGTACCAACTCCTGTTGACGGTCTAATTACATGCCAGGGGATGGGACCGATCCACTCACGTTTCGATGGAGGTTTGGTTATCGTAGTTGATGGTGCACGGAGAGTGATAGTAAGATTGCTAAATAGTCTTCAGAAACTCCTCTACCTTGTCTTTATACATTTGGTATCACTTACGGAAGAGAAAGGATTGAGACCTTGGTAGTTGATGCACGAACGGCAGCCCAAATACGCCATGTGGTTGGTGACAACATCCACCATGAGGTACTAATCAATAGGTATGTCAGCGCTTTGGTCAGTCACATGTCAACCATTCAACTGTGTTTCTTGGCCAGGCGTGGGAGAGTGGAATCTTACCATGCCGCGGTCATGAAGCGCTTTGGAAAGCCCCTTGAGGTTGTCTGCGGTGCCAAATGAAGGATTCAAGGACCAAATATCTGACGCCCAGTACCCATGATAAGAAGACCTAAGTTTGATAATTGTCCAGTTAATGTCCATAAAGAGCGTTTGGTAGTCTCGGCATTCCATGGCGGCCAAACATACCCGTCTTTGGTAACTCCGTCAATCTGCTTCACGATTGGGGATATCCAGACAGCAGTGAATCCCATTCCCTGAATATAGTCCAGCTTTGAGATCAGTCCCTGCCATGACCCGCCGCAGTATACCTGCTGGGATGTGTCACATGGCGCACTGGTTGACAGATCGCTTCGAGCAAAACGATCCGTCACGACCTGATATATGGACTGCTTGCGCCTACAGGAATATCTCGTCAGTTCAGGGTACTTTCTCATGTTTTCCGTGTGGTCCGTACCGTTCCCGAAACTCCTGGAGGTCTAGTACGGGCGAGGGGTGAAGAGACTGGAAGACAATCTTACCATTCTGAAGACGTAAGAGCTCCCACTTGGACCGCCGCTGAGAGTAGCAGTCCGAGGACAACGCTTAGTTGTCTTTCGGGCCTCATTTTGGTGAACGGTAAAAGTTAAAGCGTCAAGAATCAGGAACCGATGGCCAATATTATCCGATTGCCAGTGGGCTGGACATACCGTCATTGTCTCGGAGCGGCGCTCCGAACCTTTATAGGCCATCTTCAACTTGAAAATGATACTTTACCAGCCATTACTGGCCAGCAAGATGACGGGCTTGGGTTCTGTAAACCTCGGATGATGAGGAAGCACGAGTTTCAGGACATTTCATGCCCGCTGCTTCACGACCAGGTTCAATTCGGGCCGTAAAATTGCGTGAGGGTGTATCACAAAGGTCTCTCGAGGTCTTCATCTTGAAGCTTGGAACTGTCCACGGAATTTGAGGCTCCTTCCGTGAGGTCCCCCATTTATCTGGCTACACAAGGCGGAGGTAGTATTCGGTGCTGATGGAGAGGCCACTGGATCTACGGATCTCTGGCTCCGCGCGGTAACCCCAGACGCTACACCCCGGATTCTTTATGACCCAGACTATAGCGACGGGATTGTATGTGTGGGGGGAGGCCAATGAGGCAGAAGGCCCGAATACCACAGTGTTGGTGACCATCCGACCGACAACGGGCCGGCTGTAGCGATGTTTAGTAATTCGCGGAAAGGAATCCAATGCCAATTATGTATCAGATCTTATGCCTGTAGCCATTTCTCGCCCTCCCATCTGATATGTACCGAGCATAACTTCCAGTCGATACGATATTCGGCCCTCCTCATGGCTATAGTTGGCTACGAATGAGGATAAGATAAGGCATTCTGCATTTTGTTATGTTCATGTGATCATACGGCCAGTCTATCTCATGGCAATCCCTCACTCATACCGGGTTCCACAGTCATCTTTCCCGCTCTCTCAAGCAAAATCAACGCGGCACAGCTCGGTGTTGGTTTGTTGGTGAAATACTCTGACCTTTTCATGCCTCCCTCCTGGCATTTCCCGTCGAAAGAACGCGTAAGCTCGACACAAATACCCGAACAACTTGACATTCGGTCACATGTTGAGTGGGAATCTAGGGCTCATTGTACAACAAGTCTCTTTGCTGGGCAAACGCAGAACGACACAAAACAAGACACCAAAAGAAGGGGAAAAAAAAAAGAAAAAAAAAAAAGGTCCCGAATTACGAACTAATCATCACCATGCCCTTGCCTCTCCTCACTATTGTGAAAAATAGGACTGTTCCGGCCCATTCCCGGAAAAAAACTGAAAAGGTTGATCAGTTCCCCAATGCGCAGTCTGAGTGTAGTTCTCGAAGGAATTCTATTTGTAATCCATCGTCAGCAAAACGTGAAATCCTCGATGTCCCTAATGTAGATGGTCTTACCCAGTCGAAGTTCGTGGTAAAGTCCAGTGTACTGTTCCCTACGCCGTCACCAAACAGTGAGGAGAACGGAGATGTGTCGCCGATTCCAGCCATCGTGTTGCCCAGGTAATCTGGCGTCAGGCCCATGCTCAAAGGACCTGTGCCAAAAGTCGCTGGGTCGGCACTGACGTTCATGTTCAGTGAAGGATGATTGGGCCCATCAAGACCTTGTGTCGCATGTGTTGGTGAGGTTGTGCTTGCATCTATACTTCCTGAGAGCATACCCAGCGTTATGGCAGCCGAGTGCTCTGACCGCATCTCTTGTACTGGGTCTGAGAACTCGGTCGCTTTTGCCGTTGTAGGAATTTCGATCGCGCTGCCAGAGTGTTGAGAGGACTGTGTGCCATTGATCTTGTCCAGCATAATCTCTAGGACATTGAACGCCTTGAGGGCGTCCATAGACTCATCTGCCAATCCCTTCCAAATGTCTCGGGTGACTTCAAGGCTCTTGATCATCTCGGCACGTTGCTCCGAAGTCCAAGGAGGACTGGCTGGTGCCGTCTTTGTTCGGCGTAACGTGTTGTCATAGTGCAGATCCAACACGATCAGCATAGCGGGAAGGAGGAAGTCCTTGGTTGCGATAGAAGTCACGAACCACTTGATGGAGCGAAATCGACCTCTTGGTTGTGATTCACGGTGGAGCGTTGCCAGATGACCCAAGGACTCAAGGGAAGATGAGATTGCCCTAAGCCGAGAGCTGTTATATTTGATGTTTTGTGTCGCCTTCGACATGTACCTTCTGTGAAGAAGACAGATGATTTTCTGAAAGAGAATATCGATATTGAACCGCGCAATGATCAGCGTTAACGGATCATGACAGCCCGAGAGGGGTTGGAACCGTAGGTGCGGAGGTAGATTCGCCTTGATCTCACGCAGTTTTGCGTCAAAGCGAATAACTTCATCATAATGGACCGGATTTCGGATACGACCTGTTGCTTGTAATATGTTGCCCAGCTCCAGTGCGAGCTTAACCTTGGCCATCATATAGCTGATGTTGGTAGGCTCTGTATCTGGTTTCGGTGGGGGTAGCACCTTGGTGTCTGGATGGAAATCCTCATCAGCCAGGTTGTGCGGAAGGTCGGTGTCGCAGTCGTGTTCGTAGATCATAGTAGGTAGAGAGAGCTGGTGTGAAAAAAATACGTCGCACATCCTGATCAAAGCCCACGTTCTTCTTCTCATTTCCTAGATAATCAAGCCAAAAGTGTCAGCTGAGCGACTCATGTGATAATTCCCTATCAAGCGGCCTTTACCCGTCCTTTTGTAAGTGAATGAAACATTGAAAGAAAGGGCCTTACAGCTTGGAAAGGAGTGAGAGAAGGAAACCACTTCGCATCTCTGTGATAGCCCATACGGAAGGCAACCCTCGTGACCTGAGACATTATCAACCACAGGCCGACATCGGCATCCCACCGGGATGAATGTTCGGCAAAGAGGTAGAGAATCATAGTCTCCACGGTATACTCGGTCGGCTTCGTATAATCGCCTACCCGGAGACACTGAACGGTTCGGAGTCGGTACTCGGCTGCCTTTTCCAGTGTGCGGCCCTTCCATTCGGGCGGCTCGTCACCAACCTTGTGATAACTCAACATGGCCAGGCACATGACCGAATAAAGCAGGCCTAACCACATGATTGGTGTCCGAGACGGGTCCAGCCAGTGATTGCGAAGCTGCTGGTGGAAGGTGGGTGGATGAATGATATTAACAGCATTATCCATTGAGTTGAAGTACCTTCCACAAAGGGTCAGGACTGTTGACTTGGAAGGCAACTCGGCCCTCAGCTCGATTTCGGCAGCAGGTGTTGACTCGAAAAGAAACGTGAGGCCTTCACAAGCTGTAGGCGGCTTGCTGAGCATCACTTTCTCATAGCTCTTCTCCAGGTCCTTCTTGTGAAGTGCAAAGTAGTTCTTGACCTCGGCGATGTCCGCCAAAACGGTGTGCCAGTGGCCTTGTCCGACATACATGGACTTTCCCCTATCGGGATCCACCTTCAGAACGCCGAGGGAGGTTGCCAGTCCATCGTCGATGTCACTTTCTCCCTCGCCATCTTGCATAGCGCCATCATCGTCGTCGAGGTGTAGGAAGGCCGAAGAGCTGCTAGTCGTCGTCGAGCTAGCACCTTGTCCTTTAGCATGCCCACCAGCAGAAGCCGCAGCATTTGTAGCAGTAGCGGCCGGAGGTAGATCAATATTAGCACCGCCATGCACGAGTGACAAAACCAAGCCTTCCAGCCTGTCAATACGGTTCTGCATGTCGTCGGGAGAGGCACCTGGTTGGCATTGACTTTTTTTCCGGGCCGGCGGCGTGGCATAGAAACACGAAGGGGCATCTGTCCCTCCTCGTTTAGTGCAGTTTCCGCACGGGTGATTTCTGTCACACTTTCTATAATTTTTTTGTTTTAGCAACTAGGCATCATTAACGACGGTCTTGCGCCGAAGGCCGTTCAGGATGTTATTGGTCATAATGCTTACAGCCTATATTAGGTTATGTTAGTCGAGGGATAACCCGAGCGAGGCGGCTGTCCACGGGTGGATGGAGTGGCTCACTTTCTTGACCGGCAAGGATAACAACTGAGCGGTACTCTGTTTCGCTTTCGGACAACACGAAACTGCTCCTGGGGGGAACGGCCGCCGGAAGAGGTGGTCGACGGTGGTGTGGGCGTCATGATCTGCCGCGCTGGATTAGATGAGTAAAAAGATTCTGGCGCTGACAGGTCGTGGTACAAGGGCAAGTATGTAAGGGGCTGCGTTGAGCTGGCAATCACATAGAAGTCCCCAGTGGAAAGCAGGCCGAGTGGTGTTGATTGTGTTCAAGTTGGCTTTTCGAAAGAGAACAAGCTGAGCGAACGTTGTGGGCAGCTGCCTGAATTTGGTCACAGCTTCATCATCATATTTGCAGGAGTTTACCGTGCTAAAACAGGGTCTCATAGGCACATACCAGTCCTGAAAATGCTGCCCGGAAGGTGCAGGCATGCCTTCACAGCCTCGAATGCAAACAGGTGAGCACTTATCTTTTAATGGAGGACGGGGAGAGGAGGAGGAGGCAGGGTCATAAGCCAAATGAAAGCTAGGTTGGTTGGTAAGGTAGTAGTGGTTGTCGAGTAAGCAAAATGACGGGCCTCACGTCGAGAACACTCTCCGTCGACCTGTAAGCAATCATGCCGCAACAGAAGACTGAACGTGTTGGGTACGATACACCCCTACGGCAGTATCAATGTGAAACTGTGCTTTTCTCTTACCCCCCGTATACTCGTTAGCGCTTCATCCTGTCTTCATCCATTGTGTAGGTGCTGCTTTGTACGTAGTACGCTCAAATCTCAACAGCATGTTCGGGCCACCAATGCCTTGAGAAAAGCTTGGCATTTCAGTCTTCACCACACACAGTCAAAAATTGCATCACCAAAAAGGTTACTGGTATATAGTACTTAAACACCATTTTCCCAGCAAATCAACGCCCACACAAAAAACAGTACTGCCGGACTGCCCATGGCCACTGGGCAGTTTTCCCTGCTATTGCGACCACTCGGGAGTACAGCCAGGAGAAAATGTGTTGCATTACTCGATCCGTCGATAAGCGCAACACCTTGCGCGTTAAACGTCCGCTGTCATTGTACGCCTAGCACTCAGTTAACCGTTGACAAGCCATGACTGTCGCTTAGCGGCTTAGTGTCATCAGTATTGTCTCTTATCTCAGCAGTGCGCCTGATACGTCTTCAGCCTGTGAGTCTTGTAGTTTTAGGCTGTCTCATGCAATTAGTGTTGCGACCATCTTTTTATCGCCATGATTCCACTGCATCATCTTGAGCCGCAGGTACCAAGGAGACTGATCAAAGCCAAGTCAGATGTGATATAGGGGACACTCGACAAGAACGTGATCTGCCTTTTTGCCTCTATTTTCAAGACTGACAGTCGCTCAAGAGCATATATACAGCGGTTCCCGTTCCGACCAAGGAAGGTTCGGTGCATGCTGAAACCTAGGATTGCCCGGCGGACGCATCGCCGTTCGCCTTGACACTATATGGTTTGAAGAAGTCGGCGTCGTTCGCCAACTCCTCCTTGACCTGCATTCTTAGTCAGTCCGCTGTCAGTAGGATGACATAGAATAGGCTTCACGTACGATATCGAGTCCCCCCACTAGCTCACCGTCGACCCAAAGTTGTGGATAAGTAGGCCAATCAGCAAACTCCTTAAGGCCCTGCCGTACTTCGTCGTCCGCTAGAATGTTAAAGAAACCGTATTTGACGGCATTTTCTCGGAGAATAGCAACCAGTTGTCGCGAGAAGCCGCACTTGGGCTCACTGGGAGTACCCTTCATGAACAGCATGACCGGGGCGGCCTTGACCAGGTCACCCAGACGTCTGAACAACTCCTCCTTTTGCTTCTTGGGATCCTGAGGTACAACGTCGCCGGCCTGGCCCTCAGCAGTTGCGGCGCCATTTGCGATCGCCGGTGTCTTCTCACTAGCTTCAATGCCGGACTGGGCCGATTTTTTGGCGTGGGTCTCAATCGCGTGTCGAACCTTGACGGCACTGCTTCCGCTAACCGTCTCCAAAACCTGGTTATTCCGGGCGAGCACGAGGAAGGGAACGGCCGTCACGTTGTACGTTTCGCTAATTTCCGACAGTTCTTCGGCGTCGATCGAGACCCAGGAGGTGGAAAGCGGTTCAGTAACGGGATATTCGCTCGCCAATGTCTTGAGCACTGTCGCCATCTGGGCGCAGGGCGCAGCCCAGGGCGCGTGGAAGGAGACAATCAGGAGGGTGGACGCCGGCAATGACGACACATGATTGTTCCAAGCCTCGATACTGGTAATGTCCTTGATGGTCGACATAATGCTGGTTGCGCGGTTCAGATGTGGTCGGGTTGATGATGGCTTGGCCGAGCGAGTTTTGAGAGTCTGGTTTGGTGGCTGTCTATTGCGGGTATCGATGTCGCGCCCGTGATCCAAGTGTGTAGAGGACGGTGAACAAAAGAAATGGATTTCGTTACAAGGTCAAACCGAAACTGAAGGTTCCCCGAGGCCTAATGTGGATCGCTTGTTGGATATGGTACCGAGTTGGCGGCGAGTTTAGTTGTCCTGACACCACCGATACTGGTTTTCCCCGGCATCATCCATCATCCATGGTCCGAAAAACGTCAGCGAGTTCGGCCTTGCCCCTCGTGGTTCTTCAGGCGTGCCCCGCGGCGCCGATGCGCTTCACTAGTCTCAGATTCAGACCCACTTGACCTCCAAGACCCACCCTACGCCCCGAAATAACACTCAGTATTATCATATGTGATAAATATATAACAGAGACAGCACGGCTGATACGGGTGCTAGTAGTATAGCTTGATTGAAGTTTTATAAAGAAGGAAAAGTTTACCTAAAATACAGATCCACTAGCGTTAAGAGGTTTTTATTAGAGCTGCGAACCTAATACTACTATAACCTATAATAGTTTTAATTTTAAAGATTAAAGTTTATAATCTAGACACTAGCCTAATAATATTATCTCCCTTCTTTCCCCCTCTCCTACCCTGTGTAACGGGTCTGCAAGAGTAAAGTACAGTAAGCAATTGTATAATAGTTGAAATACTATATTTAATAAAGAGAGTAAGGGAGGATAGATTGTACTAGAAGGGTATAGTCTAGAGAAGGTTTTATATAGGGCGCTAAGACTGCACGAGCCAGGCAAATATCTAAGTCTAGCCAACTAGAAGGCTCGCATTCTTATTAATACAGCTAGTCCCGGCTTAGTAAAGCCAAGCTATATTCCCTGGGCGCCAGCTCTATTATACCCTATTACGCGAAGGTAGCTATATAGGTAATAATAAAAGAGAATGATAAAGTGAGCTAAGATGTCTAGTACTTTTCTTATTCTAATTATATTGTAAGTTGTATTATTATAAAATTATTTCTACCTATACAAACTGAGCTAGCAGCTCTATATATAAGAGAAACTTAGTTAAGAAAAGGCTTTTTATAGAATTTTACTATTTGAAGAAAATAATATAGTATAAATTATCTACTATAAATAATAGACGTTGCTAGAGCTAAACTTATAGTTAAAAATTACTTTCTCTACTCTACAATGTACAATGTAATACATTTACTATAATAATTCTAGAGTATATTCTACTACCAAATGTGGATATTTTTGAATGATTCCTACTGCAAATGAAAGGTAGGAACCTAGTTTAGTTTTAAGTATACTAGCTTTTTACTTTCTCAATACTCTCAAGAAGATTATACTAATATAATAAGGCTGTTAATAAAGTTTTAAAAAATGTAGTTTTAAGTATTAATAATTATCTTTCTAGTTTTATATTTAATGTCCTTTTTTTTCCATAGAAAAATAAAGAAGTTGAGAGTCTTTATTTAATATACTTTCTAATTTACTACTAAAATATATTATAGTATTAGGGTTTGGGGTAATTATAAATACTTTGTATATTTAATATTTCTGCTAACAAAATCTTATATTTTATAATATTAGAGCTTAAATTTTTATAGCTTTGAAAATCTCCTTGAAAGTTTTTCTTTCTATTCAAAGATGCTAACTTACTTAATGTTATAGGGCATTCTTGGTGGATACTTAGATGCTCTATCTTATTATAGCAGCCGCTCACTAGAGCGTATAGTCTATTATATAAGAGTATTCGTCCCGTCAACCTCTATTAAGGTTAACGGATTATCAATTAATATTATACTAACCTTACGTCTATCTTACTTATACTCAATAAAATCGTAGACGAAGTCTTAGGTTGAGGCTCGCAATAGCTCTTATTTTTAGTTTCCTTTAATAAGACTATCGTTAATCGTTACATATTATTATTCTATCTAGTAATTAGTTGCTAACTTTATTATTCTCTATTATTATTATTTGTAAAGCCTATCTTCGCGTAATAAGTAGTACCTATAGCTTAGTTTTAAACCGACCTTATTATTTTTTATATTTCTTCCTTTCGTCGAAGGGGGAGATACGTTAAATTTAATAATAATTTGTTAGACTTATTAACTATTATTCAGCTTTTACCCTTTTAAATTAAGTATTTGTATTTTCTACTCTTTAGAGTCCCTTTTCTTTACTATTTTATTACTACTTAATTAGGACTAAAAGCCAAATTAAATAATATTAAAGACCAATTAGGTAGACCCCTAAATAGCTTTTACCTTCTAAGAAGAAAGTCTAATATATAAAGTACATTAGATTATTAAATTTATTATATTCGAGCCGTAGATTTACTATAAGGAAAGACTCTAGCCTTTAACCGCCGAATTACTTATCGAAGCTGTATAGCTATATTTAAATAAAAGAACCGGTTATATTAAAATTAAACCTAATTAGGCCGCTAATACTAATAATAATATTTATAATAAGGGATGGATTATTAATTTGGACGTAGTAGATCGCGAAGTTTAATAGGTTTTATATAAATATTGTAATCTAGTCGCTAATTATCCGGTCCTAATACGCTAAACTTAGCCGTTTATTACTAAAGAAGGTATATTAGTATAGTTATAGAAGAAAAATTAGAAATAATTTATAGTCTAAATTAAAGCGAATGATATTATTATTTATATTGCTATTTAAATACTAATTCCCCTTAATATTAATAGTACTAGCATTTATTCTTCGCTGGTAAACTTCTCGGATATTGTTAGGATAATTAATATACTAATTATTATTAACCCGGTGTAAATTCCTATACTATCTTCTTTACTACCTACGCTTATAGAATAATATATTTAATTAAATTTAATTTAACGACCCTTCTTACCTACCGAATTAATAGTTTTGCGAGTAAGTTTAATTATTAAAATTATTACTAATATTATTTAATAATTAGTTGCCAATTTTACTATTAAATACTTCGGAAATTTTGCGTAAGCCGAAACTCTCTTATATTTAGTATAGAAATAGTAGTAAGAGTAAGTAAAGTAGTACTTAAAAATTATCTTTGCTGATAATTTTCCGGTATATTTTATTAATTAAGATTAAAATACTATATATTTTATTTAATATAATATAAAGACCGGAGGCAGATTTCCGAATCCTCTATTTTATTTTATATAACCTATTTAAAATACTATACGCTTAATTTAAAATAGTATAAAGCCCGGTTTTAATTTCCTAGTACCTATTGCTATAAGGCGTATTACCTTTTAGCCTTATAAGAATTCTATAATTTATTATAATTAGCGCTCTAGTAGTTTTATTAGTCCTATTAACGAAACGGCTATAATTAATGCTAAAGACTTGTATAATACTGCTAATTTAATTAATTAAATAAAAAATCTTTATATTAATTACACTAACCGGTAATACCTATTTAATAATATTAATTAGCTTCCTATTTATTTTTACGAATATTTACTACTTCCGGCTATTAATCGTTAGGCTTTTGGTTAAGCCCTATAGATAAACTCTAAAGGATTAACGGATTAAACTCTAGTAAGTAAGAGATAAGTAGAATAATAAAGAATATTACTAATAACGCCGAATAACGGCGGTTACCTTCCTCTAACCGTTCTAAAGGTTCCTATACCTTCTATACGCTTAGCCTTTTACTAGAACGTTTATTTTATTAATAACCTATAAATTGTATATTTTAATATTAATTCTAATACTTTAAACTTATTAATTAAAGTTAATAGCAATAGTATAATAATAAATAATTCGGCTCTTTGCGAAATACTTAAAGATTTATATAATTATATTGAGGAATTAGAAAATTAGAACTAAATTTTCACTAATTTTATTTCGAAAGTTAATATACGTATTTATTAATCTATTAAGGAAGAACCCTTTAAAATTATAGACGTTAGAATATACTTTTTTAATATAGAGCCGGATAAAAAGAAAAAGGGTATATATTAAAACGGTAAGATTGATATTTATATAGCCTTTTATAGGTTTAAAGATATAATTAAAGGGTATTTAAAGGATTATTCGGAAAAATACTAAACTATCGCTAATAACTCTAATTAACTATTCCGTAGTATAGCGCTACGTTAGTAGAATTTTACCCTTTCCGAAAATAAATATAGTAATTTTCGTAGTAATTTTAATAAAATTCTTAATACGTTTAGTATTATATTCGGAACTAAACTTTATAAAGCGTAAAAATAGCTAAATACAAATAAATTTACTATAGAACTATATAAAATTAATAAATAATCGTTTTGTAATTATTCGACTTAATTACTTTAATATACTTATTTTTAGAAAGATATTTCGGACTTCCAATTATATATTCGCTTATAGAATAGTTTATACCTAATAATATAAATTACGTACGTTCGTTCGGAATAGAATATTCATTTTAATAATTATATTAGTAGAATTAAATAAAAGGCTATACTAATATATTAGCAATTTCTTAATATATTAAAAAGTAGCTAATTAATTTATTATACGGTTGATGGCTCTAATAATAAGGACGACGGTTTCAACGCCTATATTAACTTTTAGGGAAGTTATAATAATATTAAACCTTTTTAAAAGAACTTCTTATTTTATAATAATAGGTTCGGTAGTAAATTAAATAGAAAATTGTATTTTAATAAGGGATTTAGGAACTTTAGTAATAAGTTCGATAAGCGTAATATTAGCCGGTTAAATAATAATAACGGCCGCTAGTATTATTAGAGTAAAAAATTTAAACGCTATTAAATTTCGTAGGATAGCTATTATATTTATACTTCCGCTGTAATAGTCTTTATAAATGACTTTAATATAAATAATAAAATTTACTACCTATAGAATAAAGGTTACTATTTTATTAGTAATTTTAAAAAAAAAATAGAAGAGTCTACAATAGATACTTCCGAAGTTAAATATAATAATAAACCTTCTACCTATTTTACTAGTTATTTAGCCCCTATTAAACCTTCGTCTCCTAATATCTTATTATTCTATATTCTTTTATATATAATAAATAATCAACCAGCGGTTATTTTTAATATAATTCCTATTAGAAGTACTAATTCTAATAGGCTTATATAACCCCTATTATTAAATCTATTATTTAATACCAATTCTATAGCAATTCTTAAACGTTTAGAGAGGGCTTAAGCGTCTTATAGATCGTCCGATCCTTCGTTTAATAATTGAATAACCTCTATTGAGAGTAATTAAAAGCCGTTTAACTAAGTTAGAACGTTAAAGAAAGTAAATATTTAAATAAGTTTA